TTATGTTTGTAGAGTATAAATTGGGAATCTATTAATTTATCAAACAATTGTATTTATTTAATAATTTGAACAATAAAACTTAAAGGGACTAAATCTGAATAACAATATATATGTTACTAAGCTCCTATTCTTTTAAAATAAAATTTAATAAAATGTAGTTACGAAGTTTTCATTGCCTACTACAGAATAAATCAACTGTATATTCAATTAATTAAAACTACATACGATAAATCAATTAAAAGTATTACTTATTACTTTTACTTACCTATATATTAAATATATTGTAAGTGTAGGTATTGCGATCGGGAAAATTTTTTAATCTGATTTTTCAACGGAATTACACGTTTTGAGGTCCCCCGAGTCCAAATAACCAAGTCCCGAAAAATGGTCTATTTTTATGTGAACACTCTAGCTCGAAACCGAAAAGTCGTATGAAACTGATATTACATATTTAAGATAGAAGTATACGCCTTAGATGTCCTGGCAACTTTTTCCTTGAAATCGGCTAACCAGAAGTGCCACTTTATATCAACGCTAAAATACATTTTTACAATTTTCTCAAAAACGGCTCAAACGATTTTGATTAAACTCGGTGTATCATTGTATAATTAAGTGGCCTTTAATATCATTCAGGTCTTATCCCCGTTGATGTCACTTTACAAGGCTTAAATGCCCAATTTTCATATGCGTCTTCCTCTAAAGTACCTTTAATATGGTTTATTTTAAGTGATCAACTATCTCTCCTTAATAAAAGTTATGAAAATATGTTGTTTTTTTTTACTTATTTATATTTTTACTATTTATTTATTTTTTTCTTATTTCTTATACTGGTCGAAAATGAATCTCCAGAAATACAAGTCAGAAGGTATACTTATAATATATCGTTGGAAAGCGGAGGATTTTAGAAAAAACAATATATAATATAGATAGTTATAGAAAGTAACAGAGAATGGAGAAAAATTATAAATAATAATTTTTGAAAACTAATAATATTTAACGTAAATCACACGTTTTCAAGGAATTTAAATGAAATTTACTTACTAAATGTAAACTTTAAAAAATATTTTTAAGTTTGTAAAATGTATTTAAAATCCACCTAATCAAGGCAATGGCATTGTTAAAAAAACTATTTCATGGTACTTGTGTAATAGTAAAATGTAAAATCATATTTTTATAACCTTAAATACATTTATTGTAGTTTAATCGTTACAGCTCTGGTATTATATTTAAATAATTTGGTATCAACGTCGTTTTATTCCGAAATATTGTCATGCAACTTTATATAAAATTAAATTAGAGAATAATTTGATGAATCTTCCCTTTGTGATATTCCAACAGTATTAACTACTATTTCATTGTAGTTGTGTGAAAGAAGAAGTGAAATATATAAATATTTCATAGATACGTTTATAACCTTAATTATATTGACTGTAGTTTAATAAATCTAGATCTGATATTATATTTAAATATTTAGGTAGCTATCATTCTTTTATTTTCTAGGTAAAGCACAAAAGTGTTTAAAATCCATGGGATCAAGCCAATGCCGTTGTTTAAAATATTATTTCATTGTACTTGTTTGAAAGAAGAAGTTTAATATAAAAATATTTCATGGATATATTTATAACCTTAAGTATATTTTGTGAAGTTTAATTACTCTAAAGATGATATTATATTTAAATAACAGGTATCTGTTGATCGTTTTTTTTTTTTCAAAAAATCATCAAGTAACCTTTTAGAAAATTAAATTAGAGAATAATTTGATGAATTTTCCCTTCGTGAAATCCAAACATTATCCACTTACAATTAGTGTGACAACTTTTGACTTAACCATGGCAGGCAATGAAAATCTTGTCATATCATTTTAGTAAACTTTAAAATGAAAATTAACAGTTTAATAAGTAATAGTTTTACAATCGATAATCATTTATAGGTTAAATATTCTGATATACTTTAAAATCTCTCAATATATGACCCTTTCGGTTGACAGAATGACTCCAACTCCATAACTCCAATCTCAACATTCTTTATTATTAATTTTAGTGATATTTCTAGTGGCAAAATGTATTTTGCATATACACTATTCACAGTATTATAAAGATATAAACTGAAATTGTGTGGTTTATAAAAGCAGATGCAGGAACTAGATTTTTATTGCCTACCGTCGATATAATAAATAGACATTTGTAATTGTAACGATCATAATGATTTGTTATCTGTAAGCTTTAAGCTTTAGCTCTGTTTAAGATACGCTACAAAAATTTTATAATAGTCCAACATTGCCAGAAAATAATTTCTATCCAAAGTAGAGCGGTAAGTGAAAGTTTTGTGTTGCGCTCACCAGATTTTTTTTAAATGATTGTTTGTGATAATTAATGGTATTTATTTTTATACAAAACTAGAAGTGAATCTCAACTGATTTGGTAAAAAATCAAATTATATCTTCAACAATCCCAAAAATATTCACGATTAATGTTTTGTAGAATTTTATTAATATTCGCCTTTATAAAACTTTTTTTATTTAATAATATTTTTTTTTCAATTAAGATTAATAATCAATTAATTCAATCAATGTTCACATTAATTTAAATTTTAAAAACTTGCATTTAGTCAAAGTATTTAAAAGTTTTAAACATATTTATGGATTAATTTTAAACAATTTCATCGGTGAACATTTAATTAACAGCAAATATTATTCTTTTTATATATTATTTTAATAAATAATAAATGTTTGAAAAACTATTTTTATTTTATATCATAGGTTTGAGTGTATTTAAGATAATTTATTTTAATTTTACTATAATTGTTTTTATATGTTGCCTACTTAGATATTGTTTCTCATTAAAAAAATATTTATAATGATGTAGAGATGGTTGACCGTTGATATAATATGAGAAGGAGTTGATCTGGAAGTGCGGCCAAATAAATACTAAATTAAACAAATAGTATTATTTAATTTTTTCCGACGTTTCTACCCACTTTGCAGGTCTTCATCAGGGCTACAAAAGATAAAAAACATGGTGAAAATAAAATAAATGAATATAAGTAGATATAAAATAAGAGAACGTTATCTGATGAAGAAATAAAAAGATATCAGAGATATGGTGGGTGACAATGTAGTTAAAATATCAAGTATTATATATGTAGAAGATATAAACAAAAATGGAAAATAAGTATGAATAAAAATTAAAAATAAAGGAGAATATAGCATGTAAATTAAAAGTAAACATATTACGATAAAAGATAAGGAATGAGTGTATAACAAACTAATAAAGATATCATTTGATAACTGTAGGTTAACAGATAAAGAAAATGAATGTTAACGAATAAATAGAAAGTAAATTGAATAAGTATTGATATAGTAAAGCTAAAATAAGAATAAGATAACATAATAATAAGATATCAGTGGACAACAAGCTAGTAGAGGTTACATTTGATAACTGTAGGTAAACAGATAACGGTACTAAAGGTTAAGAAATAAAGAAATTGAAAGATTAATAGGATAACATTAGTTTAATATCGTAAGAATAGATTATTAAGTATGAATAACTCTATAAGAAAAAAATAATTTTAAGAAGAGAAATTTAGAAGGTAAGATAAATGTAAAACAAGGTTATGATGATAAAACAAGTTGTACTATATATAGATGACAATTGACATTCAGTTTTTCGAAAGCGGTAATGGAATAGTAGGCTGCATGAAGATAATAATAAGGTGTATAGTTGAAGGATAGGTGTGTTAAGAAAAGAATCATAATAAAATTCAAAACATTCCGTAGGATGTAGCACTGCAGGAGACAGTTCTAGTAAAAATAAATATACGCACACACGCACACACAAATATATATATATATATATATATATTGTTATAAACATAGATGCATATATACATATATTCACACATCACACATATATACATATATACGCATACATAACACATAAAAATTGAAAGGAAAAGACGTAAAAGGAACTATAAATGGAAGTGAGAAGATTTGATAGAGGCTTATGATTAAGAATTTTTTTAAATGTTGATAATTTGGGAGTAGGCGAGGGACAGGTTTTGTTTGTCTCTTTTTCAGTTTAGTGGTTTGTAGTCTAATTGAATGAAAATACTTTCCGTAAGTAGTCTGTTGTCATGGTTAGGTACTGTGGCGAGAATGGAGGTGTTGTCAAAGTCAAATGTGTGGTTTGAGGATAAGGCGTGTTCAAAGAGTTTAGGAGCAATAGAGTTCTTGGAAGTAATTGCGTATTTGTGTTGTTTGATGCGGTCTTTAAGTTGGTTTTTGGTTTCTCCAATACAAGCAGAGTTACAATTGGGGGTAGAGCAAGGTATACGACATTAGAACGATGTTGTAGAAAAAAATATTTAAAACAAAATTAACATTTTATTTAGTAAAAATCATGATGTAATTAAACTCTCTAGTTAGAAATTTTAATTTTTTTAATATAATCACGCATTAATTTAAAACAACTAAGTTCTTCAGCGGGCAGGCTGCTCTGAGGGGTTTCTAAAACCGTATAGGGTTTGTAATGATTCAGCCCCCAAGGCGAGTTCAGACACTTTGGCAAGAATTCTTGGAGATGGGTCTATTATTTTTCGATCATAACCAAAAAAAAGACAAAACAAAATTCATTGAAATCGTTGATCTTTTCCTTGTGTTTTGAAATAGTTGAAAATTATACGGGAGGTACCATCTCATTTAAATCCATGCATTCTTACCCCTACCTGGCCTTAACAATGATAATACCGAAATAATTTCCTTTTGAAATTTAAATTAAAAGTTTCTCGTCCCACTTCCTTCTGAATTGTGATGATAACCACGTTTTCTCTTTCAACAACCTCTTATTGAGCCGAACACTCTCTTCCACCAATATTAAAGTTTCTGTTCTGGTGAAGTTTAACTGCTCTGTTCCATAATGGGCAATGGAAGAAGATGGAGATGAAGATCTGCCCTAAGCGGCTACATTTCGTTTATTATGATTATCATTAGATTATTTCCTACAAGGAAATCCAATATCGATGACTTCACCGGATGAGAAAAAACAACCGGTTTACCTTTGACCTCGCTAAGCGAGAGAATATGAGAGACCAGTGTGTCCCGATGCAGTCATGAAGGAGGTCGTAATCTGTTGGGTTATCCTATGTAGTGCAGCGGCCAAGACATCGAATTTAAGTAAGTTTTCGAAATATAATAACAAAAAATATCATAAATTCAGAACTAAAAAAAAAAATAAATAAAAAAAACAGAAGACTTCTGTCACTAAGGTTCTATGTTCCCACACCAAGCCTTAATCTCGCGGAGAACCCTTCTCTTCCACCCATTTTGCTTTCAGTTTCTACATCATCTCATTATTGTCGTAATTAAAGTACCTAAATCCTTAAAGGTTTTTATCATCTTCAGTGTGAAGTTGCTTCTTATTTTTAAATATTTCTCTGCTCCACTCGATTTTTAAGTTAATCTCTAAACATGGCCCAACTATATAATCCAACAGTGTTCTGCTTCAAAATCTACAAGTGTTCCAGACAACGTTGTCTTATCGTTATTACATCGTCATCATAGAGGCTGGTTAATCCTTTAATGAGTAATGCACATATTACTAGAATATGCCCAGAGTGCTGTAATGGTGTCAACTGAATGATGGGGAAAAGAGAAATTTAAATGCAAATAATACTTGAATAAATCATGGATTCGTCACCTAACTATTATTATTTATTTTTTGCCAACTTTATCAATTCCACCAAAAACTTTCGCTTACGGATGCGCAAACGAATTTTCTTTGAAACGCTTATATTAAAAAAACATATCGTTCCCAAAGTTGCTGAAAAAGTGTGGATTAATGTATAAATATTTCAGTACCAATTGGATCAAATTCCATTTGCTACATTCACAAAAAGTATTTCCCTTCACAAATGCATCCAGGATTTAATTATTTTTTGGGAGGCTTCAGGCCCAAAGATTTTTTTTTATATACATATAACGATAATTAATTTGAAAAAAAAAAGGAACTTAAATACCTATATGAAATCGTGTTTAAGAGGTTCTTGAAGTCTTATTAAATATAATTACAAGAACAAGAATACTTTAAGAGATAGTTTTTAATATTTTTTTCTGTTAAACATGGTTATATTTTACCACCTTCGGGAGCTTCAGCCCGAAAGCTCTCTCCTGTAGATTCGCCTGTGTTTCACTTGATATGAAACATTATTTATCTAATAGAAATGTGAGACGTTACATGGCAGATATTTTTTTATCTTAATTTAGTAATATTCTATTCTTGAAAGATATTGATTATGAGTGTTGCTGTGCAGACTTAAACGACGAATGCAAGAATGGAACCGAACCTTGGACTTGCAAAACAGCTAGTACCTGCAAGGGATTACAAAACAAGAACGATGGTGAAATGGTTATATACGACCAAATATAAATCTTTGCCACCTTCTTCTGTCCTGCCAATCTCCTTCACACGTATCCCTTTTCAATTCCTTCTTTTACGTCCTCATGACAGTTTCTCTTCGAGCGATCTTTCTTCCGTCTTCTTTGTGATTTCCATTCAAAAGTTCGTTTAGACCATCGTTCCTCCTCCATCCTCACAACATAACACACCGCCTTACAAACCATCACAGCCCATACCACTTCAACCTCATTGTCTCGATGGTGTAGAAGATGTTCTACATTTGTTCCACTTGTTTTTCTAATTTCCCTATTTTAAGCTTTATGAAGGCAAGAGACACCACGTGATCACTTACAATAATCCATTATTAGAGCTATCAATCTTCTTGATCGACTCTCTTTAATTGTCTAAGATTCGGCTGAACAGAGAGTGACACATTCCAGTAATGATTTATAATTTTTTTTTTAAGGACACCGATGCTTATAGTTATCTTCCCGTTGCTCATGCTCCTTCCAATGTCTGTGTCTGTTGTTCCTATGGTATTCAGCCATCTTCCTAAATAATTAAATAGAGCTTCCGGTTCCATCATTCAAGTGTTCAAATGTACGTATTCGCCTTGGCTAATAAAGACCATATACCGTTTTGTCTTTGTTCGCTTCCAGTTGCCAGTTTATATATTCCTGGAGAATTTTTTATATCATATATCTACATTCTCTGCTTTCGAAGCGATGAGCACCAAGTCGTCAGCAAACTGAAGATTGAATAGGCTACCGTCTCCTTTATGCCCACATCTCTACATTTTTTTTCCATTCTCTTAGAGCCCTTTCTACATAAATGTTAAACAGAAGCGAAGACAGTGAATATCAATGTTTTAAACCTTTCGTAATGAGAAATCTATTATTAACAGAGGCTCCGGTTTTAACACATACATCGGCAGCATAATAAAAGATTTTTATGGCTGATTTCCTTCAACTTTAAATAGAAATAAAGTTTTTTTGTCAATATCTAGTAACAATGTACGAAATTTCATTCGGAGCTATTTAAATTACTTAATCAATTTCACTATGTATGAACCAGGGCTTTCAGAGCAAATGAAATATTTTTTTAAATTTTTTTTTTAAATCCATATAGTAAATCAAAGAAACTTTATTTTGAGGGTATCATTATTTCAAAATTAGAATGACTACTTTGTTTCGAATCCTAAATCAACATGTTTGATAGGAATTTACTTCGCGTTTTACCGAGAAGCCGTACAGATCAGTCAATATGTCAGATTTTGCTTACGCCATCAAATAAGTTATTCTAGTTTTGAAGTGGTGTTACCCCCAATGTTTACCAAGATCGGTCCTGCGTTAGGAACAACATACTAGATCAAAACTAGCTAATCTATAAATGGTATTGTACAGGCTCGAACGAGAAATGCAAGAATGGCACAGAACCGTGGACTTGCCAAAAATCCAGTACCTGCAAGGGATTGAAAACAGGAATCAAGAAAGATGGTGAGGTGAAGCTATGCGGTTTCGTTGGTGACGAACCAATCGTCTGCTGCCCTCCTGAGTCGCAAGCAGAGGTGAAGGATAAAGTTGATTTACCGTCTGTTCAGCCAGAGGGAGGAAAGAAAGCAGAGCAAAGTGAGTATTCTTTTGAAAACTTGATTATACATGACGTCCATGTTATCCACTTACGATGGGAGGCTGCAGTCAGTGGGTCACCGATTTCAACCATTTTTTTTTCTCAGTGAAGCCACATTGAAAAATATTAGAAACATATCTCGGCATTCGTTTCAATGAGCCCAATAAACCGAGAAAAAATAAAATTTTATAGTACGCTACAAAATGGTACAAACCTGATCACCATAACAAATTATTTGAGAATTTTTCTTTATTTCTAGCTTAAAAGGTAATAAAATCTAAAAGTTATTGAATTGGGTTGAAAAAAAATTTATTCAGTATTTCTGTGGTTGAATTAATTTTTAATCTGGAAAAAAATTCTGCAGTGTTATGAATGGTTTAGTTAACGGCAAAAAAAAAAAATTCCAAGACAATCAAAGATTAAAATTAGTATTTTTTTAATTTCTTAGACTAAAGTTCGTATCTGAGAATTATTAAACAACACTAAAAACAAATCCGACTTGGTTTTTCATAACAAATTACTTTACTTGGTCTACTTTTTTGGAAGCGTCTTGGTTTTTATTATTTATGATATATTTTAACTCATTTAATACTATCGGAATTATTGTATTCTTATTTTACGCAAAATAAATAAACCGATCAGTATACACAAAAATTAATACAATTTAAAAAAAATTAATTGAAATAATCAGGCCGCGGTATAGAACCCTTTGACAGGCCCCGGCTAGAACTTCGTGAATAGCTTCACCTCATCGTGATCGACAACTTTTTTTGTTTACGAAAATTCTCGGAACTGGGGCATTTTCAATCTGGAGATTGGCAAAATGTGTCTATTTAATTAAGTAGTAGTAATTCCTTAAATTTCATTAACACCTATTTGCTTTCCACTTGGATCGTAAGATAATTTCACAACAAAATCGAGACAAAAAAAGGCCTATAAAAATATTGGGGTGTTTGGCGTGACCTCTACTTCCAACAAATCAAAATATATAAGCCAAACGGCCCCGTACAATATTTTTGTAGGTTGCCATTTTTTTTTTCCATTTTATGATGAAATTATCTTACGATTCAAATGGAAAGCAAAGAATATTTATAAGTTTTTAGTACCTCATTAAATTAAATATTTTAATAACGTAAGTAAACGACCTATTTTTCAGAAGGTTACGATAAGATAAAGCCATCCATAGGCGCCGACTTATGAAAATTATTGGGGAGGGCTAGAGAAACGGAAGGCCCCGTCATGGTTGCGTCAGTGACCAAAATAGGACAACCGCTAAACAAATTCCATACCTGCTATTAGATAGATAGATTCCTATATAATGGCATTGTAATTTACAAGAGCAATGTGTTCATGATGTTTATAGCAATTGCAATAAGTATTGTAGCAATTTGCTTAGGTGGCTGAGCCTCCACAACTGCATCATTGGGGGACTCAAGCCTCGCGAGCTCCTAGTAGTCGACTCCTATGAAGCCATGTTAATAATTTAATGAAAATGGATCTGTACTACGGACTAAATATTTTTTCTCGTTGGAACTAACACAAGTGTAATATTTTTCAATGTAGAATCAACAAATATAATTGGTTGAAATCAGTAACCCATTCAATAAAGACCTCTTCTTGTTAGTTACCAGTCAATCTTCTTAATTAACTTTAATACTAACGTTTTCCTATTAGACTTTATTGGTTTGGATTAGACTTCCAAACGTTTGAGCTTCATCGATATTTCACTCAGAATTGAACGATTTTAAATTTCAGAATGTCGAGAGTACGCTAAATATGTATTTAGAGAGGTCCAATCTCCAGCACTTTTACCAGACCTTGAGGCGAAAGTTGACGAATGTGGTAAAACTTATATTGAAGCCCTTATAGTATTTAAAGATGGTGTTCCGGCCAATCACAATGAATTCCCCCACATGGTAAGAATTCCGGCATCTTGTCTATCGTGTTCACAATTTAGCTAGTTTCCTCATTTAGCTATAATTTTCTAATTTATAGAATCATAATTAAACTGTTGTTGTATACATATTTGTTAATATATTTCCAGGCACTGATCGGTATCGAAAATAAAGGAAGCCCCCTGTGGTTCTGCGGCGGGAGTTTGATCAGCCCCAACTTCGTCCTCACCGCAGCTCATTGCAACATCTCAAACATAAAGTAATTCCACATAATTCGGAGTTATTCACTAATTAAAAATAAATTATATTGTAAAAATTAATAGATGTTTCGCCATGCGAAAAAATACTATATTATAGATCTCTCATAAAGCCAAGATCACGGTATAAGAAAGTATAGCCCAATCTATGAACATGGACAGTGGATAATTCGCACCGCTAAAGAGCTGTGCGAGATCTATGGCCAGTACCGGCCTTAAGGTACTATTTCGCTGACGCTGCCCACGACAGCGACCGCTATTTCACGCTGCCAACCGCTGTTGCGAACCCATTTCGCTGAAATTGCTCACCGGGGTTGTTATAACCTGCCTATAACCTTCAGACATTTCATTCTATCTTCGAAGATAAAAAAAATGGACTTACTATCTCTTACTACCGCTTTTTTATTCTTTAATATTTAATATTTTTATTATTTTATTTATTGTTTTACTATGTATTTTTTAAATTATGATTTATGATAAATTACAATTAAAATGTAACACATTGCACTTTCAGTAATGAAATATTTCTCTTGCAGTACTTCTGTAATTGTCAGGCTTGGAGAACTCGACGTACTTGAGAAAGAAGACAAAGCGACTCCAATCGATGTTAAAATCTCCCAAGTCATCAACCACCCCATGTACGTGCCCTCCAAAGCCTATCACGATATAGCCTTGTTAAGATTGGAAAAGGAGGTGGAGTTGGGACCCAGTATCCGACCATTGTGCCTTCAAACCGAAAGATCTTTTAAAGATGTAAAAGCAATAGCTTCTGGATGGGGATATACATCATATGGTAATTTAGATTTTTTATTTGTTGGATACTCAGAAAGTAATCCAAACATTTCGCCGCCACCATGTTAAAGTAACGAATGTGAGAATCTGCCCATATCCAACAAAGTTACAAATTCGAAAAAAAAATTACATAACTGATTCCGTTTTTTCGGTCGCCGTTCAGATGCGATATGTTGTAACAAGTTGGTCCTTAGAGTACTATGGTAAACGAACGAAATTAAAAAATGTGATTTTTCATGTTCGTTACTTTCACAAGGTTCCTACGATTTGAAATATATCCAAGATTGTGATTATAACGTTTCTGTTTGTTATCTAGGTAATAATAGCAGTTCTAATAGTCATCTTAAAAAGGTGCATCTAGATCTTACTGATGATAATAAATGCGTAAATGCTTATGGTACCAAGTGGCCTAAATTATCAAAAGGAATCAAACCCGAAATAATGTTTTGCTCTGGAGGAAATCATGGAGAGGACACATGTAAGGTAAGCATACAGCCGAATCGGTTGCCACTGTTGTGTTTAACCATCCTTTTATGATTTCTCCAATCTATCTCGTAGACATATTACGAAATTTATATTAAAAAATAACAAAGCTCCAAATATGGGTATCGGTTCCCTCATAAAAATAAAATCATTATCTGATGAATTGTGGTTTCGACACTTCTGAGCATAGGGTAAGTTATCATGAATAATAACTCTTGAAATTGATGAACATCAGGAATCCATCAGGCCGTTTTGTTTTTTTGTGAAGTTTTGTTCTTACACTGCAATATGCCACTTTAAGGATGCCAAAACTGTAAAATATCTGTATGCCAGATATTTATGGTACATCATAGACATCCATGTATCATACATTGTAGATTGTTGAGATGGAGATATAATAACATTTTAAAGATAAATGGAAAAAAACCTATTACGCAGAATGCAACGCACAATAATGAAGTTAATGAACTTATATCAGTTGGCCGAAAGGTTTAAATATCATTTTTAAAATCTTAAATATTTTTTTTCAAAAATACCTTCAATCAAATTTTCTTTAAAACAAGTAGAATACTTGACAAAAGCGAACAGGTTCTATTTTTTATTCAAACCTGTCTTTTGTCAAATTATTTGATTTTTTTACTACTAAAAAATAATTATTAACTTCCTATCTGAATCATCCATTAATCCAATAGGCATTCTAAAAATATTTTTCATCTTACAATTCACTTGGAATGACATTTAAAATAGTTACGCTGAAATTATACAGGCTTAAGTGCTTATTAACTTAAAATTAACCTAAACTCCATGATGATGGTCAGTACTGGCCTTAGACATTCGGTAACCCCGGACCATCACATCTTCTCCCACAAAATTAATTTTATTTCTTAAGCTGTTTTATGTTACGTAATGTTTGAATTTCATTTCATTCAATGTGTCTCTAATTCAGCTTTCTTAATAGGCTAAAATTAGTCATTCTCACACTTTTGTATTTTTACTTTAAATTCCTATACAAGTTGCGGACGCCCTCCTTCAGGTCGGGACCCCGGAGCGATTGCCCGTCCCTACTGCGTTGTAACCAACCCAGGTGGGAATAGAACCCACAACGATCAGAACCGGACACTTTGGGGCACACGCCCCAACTAGACCTGGCCCAAAATGTTTGATTGTATATTACGAAAGTGGATTTTATTGTGAGTAAAAAGCACCTTGTCTGCCGTTCCAGAGCCGCCGTTATAAAAAATGGCGGTTGATTTAAAGAATATTACGCCAGTAATTTGAGCGTCAAACGTGCTCGGCCATCCAGTCTTCTATCAAACATATTTGCAACAAGCGCACGATTTTCTGATTGCACAAAAAGAAAATTCATTAAAATGTTTAGTGATTTAAGGTTATTAAGTGTCACTTAATGCATTTTTGCAATAAATCGACGATATGATAAAACTTGTACTGTTTTATTTTTGTAAAACATGTTATTTCATGTTGACAGGGCGATTCTGGAGGGCCATTGCAGGTGCACTTAAAAGATCCTTACTGCATGTATTCCCAGATAGGAATTTCTTCGTTTGGAATCGGCTCTGGTTCAACAACACCTGGTGTTTATACAAGAGTTTCAGCATATGTACCTTGGATTGAAAATATTGTATGGCCATAGTAGAGTATTAACGACGACATTAATAAATCGTATTTTATAAAAATTATATGATATACTTTCCATTTTTATCAGACTTATTATTTTTTTTTTTAATAATCGAACCCGAAATCCCATCATGGTAGAATATGTTTTTCATCTTATTTATATGGATACAAACCACATTTACTCTCAGAAATGGCCGAAGGTTTCTATGTGTTGTATGTCTAAAATACAACGAAATATTAAAATATTTCAAAGATGACCAACTCTTTTTCATTCCTTCTTATTTAGATCTTTTTTTACTATCCTACAGGCTTTTTGAGATGCTAAAGATATTTCTGATTTTTTTGAAGCACGAACAATTTTTGAAATTCTTATAACTTGAGGTTTCAGTAACTCAAGTTTTGAGGTAAGTAAATCAAGTTCTGGAGCCTTTAGAAAGGAACGTTTCATCTTGATAAAAAATGTGTTCAGCATTTTTGTCGTGTCGATGGTAGATGGTTTTCAACAAGTTTCCTCAACTTGATTGAGAGATATTTCAATATTCCTTAATCATTTGTCTGTCTGACAAGAAGATTGATTTACGGAAGCATTCTCTTGTCTGTTCAGTTCTAATTTCTTTCTTCTACTTTCGATAATCTCTCTCTTGTTAATTTTTTTTCTCTCTTTCTTTTGTACTTATGATATTATTTTATTTTGTATACATAAAACACCTGTTTTACATTAATTTACCAACATTAAAATTACAATGTAAAATATATTGTAAGTAAGACACAATGTATATTGTAATGAAAATTGTAAAATTAAAAATGTTTTAGGGTTCACTTCCATGGCTGAGGATATGGGCAAACGTAGGGGGATAAACAGCTAATTTTGTTTCTTTTTTGACACTCCTGTCTTATTTTAAAAAATCGATTGATAGCAGAGAACTTCCTTCCTGTGGTGGCAATTCTTGCAGTAATTTCATCGGTGAATTCCTGGTCTTACTGAACGTTCCACCGAAGTACTCGAAGGTGGGTCCTGCTCTATCGTCACCTCATTAATCTTCTTCATGATCCTCTGATTCTTCTTGGTTCTGAATATAACCTTATACTTGGTCTAGGAAGTGCTAAGAACCATGTTTTTGTGCTAGCTACTTCTCCACAGACATTTAAGATCAGACATCTACATTTCCTTCACTTTCAGCATAATGTCTTCAGCGAATGCAAACGATCCACAGTTTACAGGTTGTATCTTCCAATATCTAAACTGTGCTTCCTCGGTTCTTCGCTTACTTTCTTTATTCACATAATCAATAATGAGGGTAGTGGGATATAGAGGGCTTCCTAAATCTCCTTGCCTGAATCCCATTGTGGTAACAAACTTGGCGGATGTCTGATGGAACATACTTACATAGTTTCTGCATGTCTTATAAAATGATTCAATACTCTGTATAAGAGCTTTAGACACTTGTTTATTCCGGAGTGAAACTAATGACTCCTTCCAAGGTATTCCGTCAAATGCCTTCCTTAAGTCTATAAACCTCTCTGTTGTAATCTATGAATTTCCCTAAATTTAGCGTAGCGCTAAGATATTTTGAGTATATGATAATTTTATATGATCTTGAGTATTCCTGCCATGTCTGAAGTATTCTGCCACACTGCTCCTCGTCCAGACGGTGTTCTATCCCATTCCTCAATCTTCTTTCTAGAATACGTTTACCTGTATATAAATTATTTACCTGGGACACTTGGCAATGAAATACCTCTAGCATTGGCACATCTCCTAGTAACAACTTTCTTGAAGATTGGAACGATTAATATTGGAACTTCTTACCTTTCCAAGCCAGTTTTAATACACTGATGATCTCTTTCCTGATTCAAAATATTTAGAGTGTTCAGGGATGCCCATCCCACCCAAGATCGATGGCAAATGAACCTTTTCCCACCCCTCCCAAGATATTTTATTGCTATCTTCTTCTTAAAAACAGTGCAAACAAAAGTATAATGAAAAATTCGTGGATTATATATAATTACGTATCCTGCAGACAATTACATTCGTCCCTTTGTCTTTTGATTTGAAACTTTTCATTTCGAAAATTCATAACCACGTTGAGTTGTGCTCCCTTCAAAAATTCAAAAGCTCGTCAAAATGTGCCCCCTGAAAAATTTTGGTGGCGCAACTTGCGCCATGAAACCCTTTTCTGGACACTCCTGAGTTTGTTAATGAATTGCATAATATCAAACTATTTTCTTGTTCGTTAATTTTCGACCTAAATATATTTTGATCTTTCATGTTCTGAACTTCTACGTCATTGGGGTAAGCTTATAGCCAGTTGTATTGCCCAGATAGATAATAACCAATCGATTGATTTTTTGTTTGTTTTTTTAAGTGTAAAATAAGTAAAAAAATATTGTTGAATATATAGAAAGTAAGAAAGTAAATTTTATTCTGGAACATTTAGTTCCCTCAGAATAACTACAATGAACAAAGAAATCCCGATTTTCTAGCGATTGTGAATAATTAAATGACAATTAAAAATAAATTAATTTACAAAGTTGTCTAACCTTAATATTAAAATAAAGAAATATGTAAATTTTTCATAATATTAAAAATTCTTAATATTGAAAATAAAGACACTGTAGTAAACATAGGATCTTGAAATAGTCTAGTAAAGGAATACACCTAGAAAATATTGCCGTCGGAAAATTGGATAGAGCCACTTCAACTCGGCATAGCAACTGGAGACGTGGGAGCGCCTGGGGTCTCCAAATATAAATCTAATGAAACAATCCATTAGCCTCTTTAATCTGATCTCAAGCCCACCAGATAGTCCAGCGTATACAAGGCAGCCATAATCGATGTGAGGAAAAATAAAAGAGGAAACTAGGAACCTACGGATTTTAAGGGGCATAGGGTCACGGAATCTCAGGGACTGTTTGAGGGTAGCAGTGGACTTTCGGATAATGTGGGAAATGTGATTATTCCAGGCCAGATGTTGATCAAATTTTACCCCAAGATTTCTTGCGGAAGTGGAGAAGCGTATGGGTATCCCATTGAGGTAGAGTAGAGAATAATAAGAAATAAGGTTAATCAGATGCTTGGATCCGATGAGAATGGCTTTCATCTTCTTAACATTCAATTTTAAATCTTTGTTCGCTGCCCAGGTATTAATACTGCCGATATCTTCTTGTAGACTTCGAATCGCCTCTAGCGTCTCGGTAGGATGGAAGGAAATGTAGATTTGGAGATCGTCCGCATATAAATGATGTGGTGAGTGATGAATGGAATCAGAAAGGTCATTAATATAGTTGGAGAAAAGAGTTGGAGAGAGGGAATATCCCTGAGGAACACCACGAGTTAGTGAGAGCAAGGAGTGGGGGAGGAAGGAGTTTTATTGGGAATGATGCCTGTTTTGGATCTTTGATACAAAAAAGAATGGAGCCACTTTAGAGCACTATTTGGTACGGAAAGGTTTTGAAGTTTGGTAAGGAGGAATTCGTGATTTACGGAATCGAAAGCCTATGAAAAATCGAAGAGGACTAGCATCAAGATTTTCTGTTTGTCTATAAAGAAATGAAGGGCCTGAGAAATTTTCAGCAAAGCGGATTGGGTGGATAACTGGAATCGGAAACAAGACTGGAAGGTAGAGTGCCTCGGTCTCCACTTGGACAAACGACTGACAGACATACCACATAAAAAAAGAACTTAATCAGCGATATGGACTTCTTTCTAGGCTACTTGATAGACGTTCTAAATTATCTGTGACTAATAAATTAACTATTTACAAAGTCCTCATTAAATCACTTCGGACATATGGGATCAAAGTATCAAACCCTTATAATCCGCCCAGAAGACTGCTGAGGTGCTGGCCAAGACAAGAGACTTCTTGCATTGAGCTACTTGCTGCATTATCTTTTTTTGTGTGTGTGTTATTATGTATATGTTATTATGTGTTATTTTACTACTGTTTTTTCTTTTTGTATTTTTGTTTTGTTATTACTATTCTTTTTTTCATGCTATTATTTCTTCTCCTTGATATCATGTTTGCTGAATACCGAGGTAGATGGCAAAGTTATTGTGAGCCAGGAATATGTAGAACTAATAATATACGAAACAAAATTTGTAGAAACATAGATGCTACTTATGGTAATGTACTGTTGTATGTTAAAATAAAAATGTAAAAGGTTTCATGCACTCCTGTTTTTAGGACAATTAAGATTATCAACTTTTTGTATTTATGGTTTTAAACATTTTAGAACTAGAATTATTTAATATTTTCGTAAATTAGTTTATTTTTAAAATAAAAAATAGTGAAAGAGATAATTAAAATAAGATAATTATTTAAATAGCAGGAGTTGCCATTTCTTCGTTCCTTATCTAACCGGCCACCCCACTCCTTAACGAACCGGCATCCCCACTCATTGCCAAACCGGCGGTATCGATAATTCTCAGTCGTTGGAACAGTTCCGTTCCGTTCCACAGTGAGATTAGGTTCCCGTTCCCGATCCAGTTGCATTGACCCATCCCTACTGGAAGGGACTGAGGAAAGCTTTTTGCTCAAGGAATCTATTAAGCAGTGAATGGACTATTCTTTCAAGAGGCTTTGAAAGATTGGAGATGGGTCTGAAATCGGAAACTTTATTGTGAACCGGTACTTTGCTCAGTGGGTGGACGGGAAACTGGAATTTCGTAAGGAAAAATTGTTAATACATAATTTGATTAACTTCACAGGAATTATGCCCGGGCCATAGTCGTTTGTTCTCGAATTTAGGTCAGAGGGAAGTAGGTCTTCTGATAAAATATTTGTAAAACAGAAATTTTCAGGGTTAAAGGAAGCTTAGGGAATACAGCATGAGGGGGAACGAGTTAATGAATCCGGATCGGCAAAGTGGTAATTCAGTTGGTCTGAAAAAACAGGGTAGGAGGTGCAGGTTTTTGATTTTACCACGGAGAGGTTTTTAAGGATTTTCCATCTGGACTTAGGATCGGATGCTTGTGACAAGGAAGAATGAAAGAATTGTGCCTTACCACATCGCAAGGAATATTGGGTAAGGTTTCGAAGAGAAGTAGTCATCCGGATTATGTGTTCGTCTTAAACGCCTCCTTGCAGCATCCTTTCTTTTCATTAACTGTCTTATTTCTGAATTAATCCAGTGAGCTTCAGTGCGTCTAAAGGTCGAGGGGGCGTGCTGCTTAGGAATAGGAGAAGGTTTGAGGATAGACACTCCACCATTTCATCAATTGAGGAGTAGGAATAGATCGGATCTAAGGATTTTGGCTAGTGATTTAGTTTTTCAGAGGTCAATGAGCCAAGACCCCGTCATGTGATTTGCCTGTGAGTGAACTTAGAAGTCAGGACATTATAGGCAATCTTGATGAGATCATGGTGTGAAAGCAAGGAAACAGAGTTCTGAGCGGAGGATAATAAGTTTTGAGGGGAATCGATTACAAAAAGGTCGATCCATGTATATATATTGAATCATTTCAAATGTAAACGAAATTGCAAAAACCGAAAGCCGCTTCTAGTGCGGTAGGTTAAGGAAATGATTTTTTTTTTTCGAGTTTATTTACTCGGAATAGAGGATTTGTTTAGAAAAAGAGAGCAAAATAAAATAAAGTTTGATATACTTAATGTTAAAAGCAATTACATGTTAATAATCTCTATTGAAAACTTTTATTGGTTTCCATGTCCAATAAACTATCAATGATCAGATGAATCTCAATTAATTCAGGATTTAAACGCCTGATGATGATAGTTAATTGGACTAAGATTCAAGATAATAAATAGTGTTTAATAACGTATTTCCTACTAGGAAATTCTATCTTCAATGCTATACAAACAAAAAAGGAAAATCTAGCAATATTTCCATCAATTAAAATACGGAGCTGACTAATAAAAACCTGTTTTCCTCTGACCTCGCTATGCGTGAGAACGTGAAGATCAGTAAGCTCTATTCCAGGCATGAAGGAGGTTCTCATCTGTTGGGCACTCCTATGCGGTGCAGCAGCCAAAACATTGTTTTTGAGTAAGTTTTCGAAACATAATATTGACAAATTTAAATTCAAAACAGTATCACAATTACTCGATTCGATTTGAAAGTACCAAAAAGTTTGGTATCAACAACGTCTGATTTCCGGTCATTATGTTTATGTTCTTTTTCTTAATCAGAAATCGACTTATTACATATTCTGCGCCTGCCTGTATGGTGTGTAACAATTATAAATGATCTTATACTTAAATTAAGATTGTTATGAAAGATAAGTATTCAAAAACCTATCCCAAATATAGGTAAATCCAAAACGAAAAGTATGTTGAAAATAAAATTGAAGAAAGGCTATACAAGAATGCTATTGAGATGTTAAATCATATTGATATTTACAACCAGTTAGGCTTGTAAGATTAAATTGTTAGTTCGGAAATTGCATTTTTTATTTAATCCTAACGCTTTTTTTTTTTTCAATATTAACTGCATCAGAAATTCTTCGCTACAATAAGTTTCATACAGATTTTTATTATTTTTTTTTTTTAACATGAGACATACTACACCACCAATATTTCATGAGTCATACAAGATTGGATGATTCATTATTAGTACCCTATTTCGTGTTGAAATCATCAACCGGTTGTCTTCCATCAGTCACTAGCGGATCCAGAATTTAATTTTTTGGGGGTGCTTCAGCCTAAAAGCGTTTTTTTATCAAAATGACGATAATTACTTTGGAAAAAAAGAAAGAAACTAACTATCTATTTGAAATGGTGTTTAAGTGATTCCTTAAGTCCTTTTAAATTTAACTATCGGAATTTAAAATCGATCAGCCCTAAAGCTCCCCCCCTTTCCCTCCCCCCCGTAGATCGGCCGGTGCCATCAGTTATCACCTCTGTTACAACCAACTTGTTAGTTGAGCTGATAGAAATTATTTAAACTTCATTTTTTTGTTTTTACATTAGTTTATAATGTATTTTGATTTAACAGGAGGAAACTTAATACTTTACGATTATTTATATGATTTTTATAGCCTGCTGTATACTTGGTCATATCCGAGATCTATTCAAGGAATGTGTTCCGCCTTGAGATTTTGATAAATATGGATGTCTTAGAACATTGTTAGTCAGAAAGAATATATTTTGTTGCCCTACTACTTTTCCCTTTCTAATTCTGAAGTAAAAATTAAAACTGAAAACTGTAACTAAGGCTTCTATTCCAGCAGGCAGCAATATGGCGATATAGTAATATTACTATCTAGAGCACTATAGCAGTTGCACAGAGCGTCATAATCCGCAGCGATGCCTACAAAGGGATATCATATCGCCGGGACATATCGCGATCTGTGTGTAGGAGCCTTAAAACTAAAATCTGGTGCAGGCATCACACAAATTCCACTTACCGATTAACTCGCAGAAACAGAAATTATAGTCTGATGAAATCAGGCTAATATAAAATGCTTTTCAATTGCATTTTTAGTAGTGCTAAATCTTATAGAACATATTTGTAAATTTCTCTCATATTTATCGATGCAAAAACTCATTAATACTATAAAAATAATTAAAACACTATTTATTATATCGGTGGTAGCCAATAAGAACCTCATAGCTCCATCAGTCTATGTGAACCACATAGCTCCATTCTCCAGAATAAGTAGGGATTATACTATACAGTAAAAGTTTCAGGAATAAAATCTCTATCACTTCTTAAATGTATTTGAACTCTTATTTTCTCTTGTAAAATTTACCAAAATACAGTTGCCAATTTTTTTTTTACTTTTAATCGATTGGTCAAAAGTCGTCACACTGTAATTATTACTGAATAATGTGATTACAAAGAGGGAATATTAAACAAATTTTCACTAATTTAATTTTCTAAATTTTTTTGGAATAAATCGACAATATATATTTCATGTTTTTATTTTGATGATAATAATATTTTCATTTTATCTTAAGAGATTTTGTCCCAACACAGGATGAGATTCTAAAAATCTGTAAACGTAGGACTGGAAGAGCAACTATAAGAAAATGGAATACGAGAACAATTCTAGTCCAAGCTCTCGTATTCGCAGATGATATTATCCTCATAACAGACTTACCCGCAAAATTGCAGCAAGCGATTGTGGAGTGGGAGGCTGAGCTTAAAAGAAAAGGTATGGTCATAAATGAAGAAGAAAGTACAATTATGCAAAGAGGTCGAGAAATCGAAGATATACTAATAAACTATAGGGGTAAGAATCTGGAGTCAGTAGGGGAATATACATAACTAGGGACATCTGTTAGGAGAAATGGAAAAATAGACTAAAAGATATCAAACAGAACCAAAAAAGCAAATGGCGTCTATAACCAGATCTGCAACACGGTTATAAGAAATCGAGAGGTGGAAAATTTGACTAAGATCCATATGTACAACACACCATACCTATATACTATATACTATATAGTACACACTACACACTATACAAACGAACGGATTATAGGAAATATTAAAGAGCCACCAATACTGGAAACCGTGGAAAAGAAGATGCTCAAATGGTTCGATCATGTTATAAGGATGAACGAGGACAAGGAACCCAGAAAATTTCTTGAACCAAGACCCACAAAAAAGAGACAAGTAACAATGAGAGAAAGTGAATTATTTAAAATAAATCAAATTAAAAGAACTTTGGAGGAAGACATTTTTAACATTGTGCATTTATGTCCTGTTGAGCAACATCAATGAGGATAAAACCTAGCTGATATTATACATCATTTAATTGTACGTTGATATACTGAATTTAATAAAACTCATTTGAGCCATTTTTGAAAAAATTGTAAAAATGTGTAAAATTTATGAGATAAAATGCCACTTCTGTTTACCCGATTTCAAGGAAACGTTGCTGGACCATCCCAGCGGTATACGTATCATAAATATTTTAATTTTTTAGACTATTCACTTACACTCAGACCATTTTGTGGGACTTGGACTCAGGGGACCGCAAAACGTGTATTTCCGTTGAAATCTCTGATTCGAATTTGTTTACGATCACGATAGTTTTTCTTCCTGCATATTGCATACATAGGTAAGTGAACGTAAATCATTTGAAACCAAGCATAATATGATTGTTTTATACAGTTTATTCCAACCCAAGATCATGTAAACTAAAAAATCAATGCTACACACCACAGTAGTCACCCATTGATGACAGGTTTCTACAGGCACGTTCATCATAAATCATACAAAGTCCCAATAATAGAAACTATCCAACCATCTTAATCTTTTCGTTCACTTTTTTTTTTTTTTTTTTTTTTTTGTATTTTTAGCATCACGGTCCTGGAAGAGCCTCTCTTACAGGAGCGGATCCAGAGAAAGATTTTTGGAAGGGAGTCTGATGACGCACAGGATAATCTCAGGATTTGGGAGAAATACTCCACAACTCGAACTATTTTAAATCAATGGATTTCAAACAAGATAATAATAATAATAAATTTGTTTATTGAGCAATTTTACAAATGCCTTTTGGCATATTTTGTAAATCTGATGTTCGTTAGCGAACCTCCTCTTCGGGATTAGCGTGAATGCGTGATTGGAGAAGCCTCCCACTGAAGGTACTCCTAAAGTGACTCTTAATGCAGTAGGTCCCTGCTCCAGAGGCGTTTGAGTCTCCTTGGTGGATTCTGTGGTAGTGTGACCGTTAGTAATGTTTGTACAAGTGGATTAGGATGTCCCAGCTAGGGAGTCATGAAAATTTTTGTAATATTTTTTAATTACATCAGTCACTTGTGGTGTTTGTAGATCTTTATGAAGTGATTTATTGGTTATGTAGAAGGGACAATGAGTGATACAACGGAGAAATTTTGATTGGAAAATTTGAATAGTCTGTAAGTGTGTTTTTTTGCATGAACCCCACACCTGAGAGGCATACGTCCATATTGGTCTGAGTAGCATGTTGTATATAGTAATTTTGTTAGAAAGTGATAGTTTGTTTTTATGGTGTAGGATTCGTCTTAGTAGTGACAATCGATGGTTCAATCTCTTTTTTAATGTAGTCACGTGTGATTTCCAGGTCAGTCGTCTGTCCATTGTGAGTCCTAGATATTTTGTCTCTGTATGATTTGGCAAAGGGGTGTTGTAAAGTGTCAGTGGAGGGCAATCCGTACGTTTAAGTGTAAATGTAACCTGATTTGATTTTTGAATGTTAATTTTTATGCGCCATTTATCAAGCCAGTCTTGTAGAAGATTTAAATGAATCTGTGCTTTCTGAGATGTTGTGATTGGATTAGAGTCAATCGAGATTATGACAGTGTCGTCTGCGTAAGTTGCGAGTAATGTGTCAACAAGATAATAATATAATGAAAATAATTTACCATATTTTTGTTGCCCAATGAATAATAATTTATGTGGTAGAAGTATTGCTACAAAAATACTTCTACCGAAACCCGTATATTTGTTAAAATATACCCATGTTTGATGGAAAAATATATTTAAAAAATATTTCTTAAACTATTATTGTTCGTGTAATTGCATTGAAAAGGATTTAAGGAATCACTTAAACTCCCTTTCATATAGGTAGTTAGCTTCTGTCTTTTTTTCCAAAGTAATTATCGTCATTTTCATGAAAAACAAAAAAGCTTTCGGGCTGAAGCCTCCCCAAAATTAAATCCTGGATCCGCTAGTGCTCTGCCCTAGCATCTGTTCGTCATTATAATTAAATAGCTCTGAAATCGAAAATATTGAATTGCGTAATTTAAAGAAATAAAAGGGTTTTTTTTTTAGAATCGAGCTTTTTTCATAAACTACCGAACAGCATCTAGATTTAATGTTTAGAAGAATTTAGAGCCTCGCCGTTAAGTTGTAGGCATTGAAATACCCAAACATTTTAAAACAATTAATGAGTGTTATAAGATAGTGCGAGTTTCTATCATAGAAAGGGCTCTCTAAATTGTTTTTCGAGCTACAAACCCATTTCAACAAAACCTTGTTCCTGATTCATCTTTTGTATCTCTCCAACTATTTGTTGTGAACACACTTCGGCTCAAAATATTCCAACTGTAATCCCATATAGCAGAGCTCCGCAAGTCCTGTCTAATGGACTACCATTGTTCAAACTATTCATCTTTTCTTTCTGACAGCATTTGTTGATATTGCTGCAATCTCATTATTCCACCCAATTCTTTCAATGACATTGTTAAATCTTCAATCATACTTCCTATTGATCAATTTATTGGTTTAATCATTGGCAGATAAATGGATCCAAACTCAAGCCTATGAATTATGATTTCCATTCCAAACCATGTCTTGCAATACATATATAATAACATATCCTTTTTTGTCCCAAAATGTTATCTTACGTTTCTCTTTAAAAAAGTATCGACAACATATTAGATTTATAACAATTAATTCAATAAGGGAAACGGGAGCAACAAACCCTTGCAATCAACGATCCAATCTATATAGATTGTAGATGGAAGTATCTGATACTTTAAGTTTGTGATTTGAAGATGTACCTGTTATTTATTGATGTATGTGAAAAAGTATTATTTGATAAATAACTACTCATCTCTACTTTATACTTTGTAAATAACCTACGGGAAGTTAAATTTAAATAATTAGTTTTGGCGGGAATAGGCGCATAGCCTTCCGCTTTTATATCGGGGTTTAAGGTTATTTACACTCGTGAATCATTAAAACAACACCCCGGCACTGGATATCGATTTTTTGAGGGTGTTTAACTGTGATTGGGAATTCGGGGATCTAATACCTTTTATGACACTGGGTGAGAAGAAACAATAAGAATATATATATGAAATGTGGGACTTAGTAAACACTTTAAATTGAATCACCTGGTTTATTCTTCAATCGTGAGGCCTATAGGACAACTAAATAAAAGGACTATTCACTCCGGTATAATAAAACAATTTATTTTGACAATTGATCATAAATATATAAGTGAACGGTCGGCTTGATAATCTTGGTCTTCAATGTAGTAAGCCTCTCTTCCCAGATGACGTCTTCTTGTGTTGGTGTCCAGGCCTTAAGTGTTTGGCGTCGTCCTCGCCATGTGTTGCCAGCTACATAGTCGGACCTTTTCTTCTTTTCGATTCTTTATCGATGTCAGATTTTCCAATGAGCAATTTGTCCACTGCACATTTGAGTGCTACCTCACATTCCTATATATTATATATATATATATATATACCTTCTCATTACCTCACACATTGTCATCTAAAGGGGTAAATACAGGGGGATGTCTACTACAACTTTTTGTTTTTTTATCATTTTGATTGTTTTCGATTACAGATTTGGGTGATAAATGCCAGGACGGGAAGGAACCATGGTTTTGCCGGTATTCTAGTTCCTGTAAAGCACTGCAGCAAGAAGAAACGAAAAACTCACTAGATATATGCAGTTTTGAGGGTCTGAAAACGATAGTCTGCTGTCCACCTGATCCTCCCAACCAAAATGGCACATCAAGTAATTCCCAATCTGGCGATTACAAGTCGGAGGTCTTGAATAATGGTACTGAACTTCCATCCTATGGAAAGAAAGCTGAAGAAAGTAAGTGTGTAATGTTTTTCCTATTCATTAGTCTCCACTTTGACTACTGCCATAATTAGTACTTTTTGAAATAAGGATGCTGAGTTTGTTTGAAATCTTTCTTTTTAAGAATCCTTTTTTTATTCATTTATGTTATGGGATCGTGGAGTATTAAAAAACAAAAATAGTCAAGATTTGATGTCACTCTTATGCAGGTTACAAGGGAACAGCCCGCAAGCTAGGAATACTCAAGTTTTCGTTGGTCTAAACCAGTATTGCCACCTTTGCTGTTATATTTATTTACCATATATACCATTTACAATTATAAAATTCACATCTCATTTATATAATTAATAAATATGAAATAATAAAGTAATTTTTCACCACAATTCCTACTTTTGAAAATTTGACACTTTAAATCTTTTTAAAATAATAGAATTGTTTTATCATCTGTTTTGATTAATAGTCCCGTTTCTAAAGACCAATATAGGCACATAAGTTCAATCTCTAACAATCCAGATGGAATTTCCTGAATGTTGTAACTCAGGATTATGTATTGGAGCAGCGATTTAAATAATAAATTATCAGTATGCTTTTGAAATCTGTAATAAATGATGTCATAAATAACATATATTCAAATTCCTCTTTAAGTTGGAATTTGTTAACTTTATTGATTTGACCTCAAATAGCTTAATTAAGTGAAACTGAATTAAATTTTTATAGAACTTTTTATACATATCAGCTCATCCTTTTAGAATATAAAATAAATAAAATCCTGCAGATCTCAAAATTAATCAACTTAATATAAATCATTACCATAAAAACAGGAAATCAAGAAGAACTATTTAATTGATTACCCCCAAATTAGAAATATTAAAATAACGAATTTCTTTATGACAGTTATTTTTTTAATATGTTCAAATGAATAAAATTTATGCGAATGAAATTTGAGATTTTATAATCAATAATATTATGAGTAGTTAATAAATAACAATAGTTAAACCATGTAAACAAATATTATCTAATGGTACCTTATTGTTTAATTAATATTACAATACCCATTGCGACCAGTGAACTTGGAGAAATCAGCTAAAAAATGGAAAGTGTGTTGGTTTGAGTTATACTAATTAATTAATCAAATAACCCTCCTCTACTTGTAATCAATCTATGGACTGCTGTTTCTAAAATTATGAGAATCTTGACTGCTTGCAGTAACACCATATGCTTTGGTAAAAGCATCTGAAAGTTTATGGAGTAATGGGCAATTAGGCATACCATTTGTATAGTTAAACCACAACATTGCAAGATGTGTCTGCTATGTGTCTGCTATATGGCCCTAAAATTTCTGAGCTATGCTGAGTAGACGTAAATAAGATTTCCTCTTCCAATGTCCTCTTCCTTTGCCCATTTCATTAGGAGAAACATGAGGTTACAGATAGAAAAAACATCAGGCTCAAGAGGAACTAGTAGTGCTGGACTTTTAACAACACCAATAATACCTCTTCTACATCACCATGTTCAAATTTCTGAGCTTTGCCAAAATCAAGGCACTCAAGATTTCATCTGTCCCTATTACCAACATAACTGACATTTTTATAACCTTATAGAATATTATCATTATCATAATCGTTTTAAATAGAATTATGCATGTACATCTTTCACTATATCATTATTTTCAATGAATGATATCAACCCATATATTCCCATCAAAGATGATCAAATCTATCTCAGAGATATGAAGAATTTTTTTTTTAAGTTTAAATATAGTAGTTCTTTTTAATGTTACGAACTGTTGTAAAAATGGGTTTTAAAGCAATCTGGTTTGCACCAGAGTAAAATATTTGTTGAGAATTTTAGATGGTCTTGGAAAGGTTGTGTGGGATCCATATTTTTGTAGGTTTTTTACTGCAGTACTCAAAGCATTAGAATTGAGTGAGCAACAAATTGGTCAAACAGTATTTTATATTAAGCCCTAAAAGATTTAAATACTTAAAACAATATCTGTCCCTCCCTATTACTGAAACTAAAAGTATGATAATTATTTTTAGTTTTAATTTATTCTAGCAAAGGTCCAAAGAAGGATGATTAGTGCTATATCAATTATAATTACATTATAATTGCTATATACATTATAACTCCCTCTTTTAATTTATTTATCCATCGCTATTTTTTAAATGCAGTTATATCTTTTAAACAATTGTTAACAGAGTGCAAAGAATATGCAGAATATGTTTACAACATCATTGAACTACCCATCCTAATCAGGCCCATTAAGAAGAAAATAGCTGAATGTGCAGTCTCAGCAGAAACCCTCATAGTTGGTGGCAAACCGGCAAAACCCAACGAGTTTCCTCACATGGTTAGAAGATCAAAATTTTCTATTAAATTGTTATTTTTGTTTCATTGTTATTGTCTTATTATTTTTTTTTTCATTTCTGCCTTAAAAGGTCAGAAAATAACTGAATTCATGATTTTAAATAAAAATTATTATGCCATCCAGAGAAGAGCAGTAGCTAATGGTTTCACCTACAATCGTTATTACTCAAGAAATATTTATACAATATATAGTTTTTTATTTAACAATCTCATATTTCTTTTGGAAGTATCACTACAATATGAAGTAATCTTCCAAGAGTTATATTATTAGTATAAATAAGGACATATTATAATATATATATATATTGTAACATTTCTCTTACATATTGCAGATAATAATATGACCTCATGGAAGATCGCTTTGTACCGTTGGGATACTTCCTAAATAAATAAGAGGTTATTAAATAATAAAAAAAATTATAAGAGTATTAATATATTTATTTATCTCTGGTGTGGGTTACTGACAATCAGATCAAAACACTCAAACAAACTAACATTAACTATACTAAACACTGTTTGATTTCAAAATAAAGTCAAATATGGATTGGCAAGCTAACCTTTTTTCTATATATAATGTTTCTTCCTTTGTGGCACTGAATTCATTTATTTTCAAACACTTTTCAAAGTTATGCCAAACACAACTTCCAAATTGGTGATACTTTCTTCTACTCAACTCAAGCTCCTTGGGAGATATTCTATCTTGTACTTAAAAACAACTAGTCTCACTGCCAAACGACAACTTCTAAGATGATATTACATTAATTTATTAAACCTTTTTTACTCACTTCCATTAAAGGTGTACATTGCTATATATGTGTGTGTGTGTGTGTGTGTGTGTGTGTAAATGTAGTATGTGTTACAAGAAAATGCAAAATATTTAAGATTTTACTGTGTTGTGTTATTATTAATTCTCTTTGGTTCTTTTTATATTGGTTTATTTTTACATGTATTTGATTTTCAATTAAAAGATTTGTGCTAAAATAGATTTGTCATTTTCTAAAAGTTTTCAAATGTTTTATAAATTGTTACTTACATCTGTAAAGTCATCCAGTGAAATACAAAATTTATTATACTATTAACACTGAAATCCAATTTTGAATTTATCCCTTAGTAACTTATTTTTTATCATATTCATTTTTGTTTCAGGCACTGATTGGAATTAAGGATAGTGATTCGGAGATTGATTGGTTCTGTGGTGGCAGTTTGATCAGCCCAAGGTTTATACTGACTGCTGCTCATTGTAATATTTCACAGCATATGTAAGTAGTACCTACACATCAAGTAGAGATGAGTTGCAACCAATTCTTAATGTACCAGTTCCAATCAAACTACCCGATTCTGATGAAGAATATTTATCGTGATTAGGTGCTAATAATCAATATTGCTAGACATAATATCTCAAAATAAAGATAAAAAATTTATTTTATTTAACCAATTATATTAAATTAACCAAATGAATATATAATTTTGATAACAAGAAATACATCTATATACATTTTAGTTTGTCCAGTGGAGTACCTAAATCATATGGGCCCAGGGGATGAGACTTTAACCACCGCAATATTAGCCTCTTGAATACTTTTTGTTTGCTTCTTACTATTCTATGATTTGTATATCAGAACTAAAAACCTTATATTAACATTAAAATTAGAAGCCTTAAGTTCTTAAAATACTGGTCAAAAACTAACCAATCTATTAAGTAGGTCAATAACTAACCAATTTATTAGACAGGCTGACTAACCAATCTATTAGGCAGGTTAATAACTAACCATTATATTTGGCAGATCAACTAACCAATCTATTAAGGCTCCCTTACAGGGTCAATATTATTGAAGGAATATAATTGAAGGCAATATATTGAAGGGGTACCTCACAGGGGTCAATTATATTGAGTCAATGAAGAGAAGAATAGTTGAGGTGATCAGTCAAATAAGAAGGCAAAAATAAATGATCATATTTATTTTGTTATTTGCAAATGACAAAATAAATATTATAATTTATTTTTGCCTTCTCATTTGACTAATCACCCCAACTATTTTTCTCTTCATTATTCACGACAGTCAACTATTTAACCACTATATTGAGTCAATATTATATTAATTAAGATCTTGCTTTCACTAAAGAAGGAGGTTTCCAAAGTCTAAATTGGTAACCTTTCTTTTATGTGGAAATAAATAATAATGAATTTCCTATTACTTTAATTGCCTTGGCTTTACATTAAAAAAAAAATAATTACTTGGGAAAAAAGAAATAAACTAACTGCCTACATGAAAAGGTGTTTAGTGGGCTGGGTGACCGAATGGGCTAACGAGTTGCACACAGCACCACCGATGGCCTGAGATGAAGAAATTGAATAGTGTCCAGGTGAGCTTTGCAAAGAGATTACTGCTGGTAACCGAAGAGGTCTAGAGTGATTTTGATATCTGGTTTGGTAGTGAGTAGTTAGAAGTTTGTTTTCTGGTCGTTGGCCTCTGTAAATTGATTCATAATTGTGGGTTGATGGTTGACTGTAGTGAATAATAAAAAGAAGGATGGTTGGGGTGATCATTCTAAATAAAAATGGCAAAAGTAAATAATAAATATTTTAACATTTGCCAATCTAATAGATTGAACCAATCTATTAAGCAAATCAATTGTTTATCTGTGCCTTACAAATCCAAGGATTTGTGTTTGAAATCTTCCAATTATAATTAATTTATTTATACCCAAATTAATCTATGCCTCTGTCATAGTTTCTTCTGTTTTATATTAATTTATTTTCTCTTCAGAGAATCAGCTGTCATCAGGCTAGGAGAACTAGATGTACGAAATGACAAAGACGAAGCGACACCGATAGAGTTTAAGGTTGTTGAAGTATTCGACTATCCTGATTACAATCACTCTAAAGCCTATCACGACATATCTTTGTTGAAGCTGGAAAAGGATGTGGAGCTGGGACCAAGTATTCGACCACTGTGCTTGCATACAAACAGATCTATCGAACGTAACAAAGCAATTGCCTCTGGATGGGGACATACTTCCTTTGGTAACTTGTTTTTTATTTAATTACCATACATTATATCATTATTTTGATTATTATATTATAATTAATATTATTACATCCTTGAGTGTTAAATTGCAAATATTGTCGTGATAATTTTTTTTTTCAGTATCACAACTGGGAAATGTAATTAATTTAAAATAAAAATAATACATTTGTTGGATGAAATAAAATTATATTTCAAATCATTTTTTTTTAAAATAATTTTTAGATCTAAGATGTTCCATAAATTTTCATTATTTGAAAAAATCTAACAGATTGACATTTCGAATAATTCATTTTTCTGAATCATTGTAAATCATTTCATTTTTCACAAAAAAAAAAAAAAAAATAAATAATAATATGAATAAATAATGGGAGTAAGGAAAGTAATAAGCACAAATGGAGATAATAGACAATCTTCTAAATTTAAACTCATACCAAGAATAATTAATAACTCAAAAAAAACTTTCATAAATCTGATCATAAAAAGATAAAATTTGGATTATATAATAATAATAAATTCAAACATCATTTAACAATTATGAAAGATAAAATAAGTAATGAAAATAAAACATATGATATATATAAAATAAAATGTAAACAATGTCCTGATAAGTATTATTCAGAGGGAAACTTTACTAAATTTACAAAATAGATTGAAGCCATATAAAATAAATGTAAAAGTCTGCAAAATATAAAAACAATAGCCTTGACTAAATATGCGTTATAAAAAAACCACACGTTGTACTTTGATAATGTAAAAATATTAAAATCAAATTGTATATACTTTCTGATTTAATTTTAAAACATTTACCAAAATGAGAATAATTTTAGTAAGAATTTTCTATCAAATAATGGTAACTGTTGTTGGAAATCAGTAACATTAGTTTCAACAGCTGATTAGAATTAATAGTTAAGCCCATCTCCAGTTATATCAGGAAAATATCTATAGAAATATATATATCAATATTCTGTTTAACATTTAATTTAATTATAATCACTTTGCATTTTAAAAAATTGATCAAACAAGCCAGAAGATGATCTCTATATCAAAAATTATTCTTAATAAATTTTCATAAGAGTCATGCTCTCACCGATAATCAAAATAATGCTATTTCTGCTCCTTATATTAACACTTTCTTGTGAATTTACCTTTGTTGTAAAGTTAAACCCAACAAGTGATCTATATTGATTTTTCCACCAATGCCCAAATTTGGTACTGAATAATTGAATACTATTTGTACAATATTGGGGGACCCGCTACATGCTATATGACCGGGAGCCCTTTTCTTGTGAAATAAAAAAATGAAGAGTTTGATGGAGAAATATCTGTGAATGACGTCACTGTCTATTTTGTTAATTTCCTTTTATTGTAACTTATAATTAATATCCCTTAAGGGACAATTTATTTTAGTGGATTAATTAATAATAGTAACCTTAACATACAATTTGATAAGGGGCCAGTCTCATGCCAGTGGTTTGTCACTTTTCTCCTGATGCCGCTACTCGTCTAAGTCATCTCAATTTTTGCCTCGTCCAGTGTGGTGCAACCGGTGTCCGCCAATTTGTAGCCGAAGGGCTGTAACTCTCCGTTAGCAGTGGGCTGTGAATTCGGTAGAGTGAGTGGAGTGAGTGGGTGAGCTGTGTGTCTGAGTGCTTCGTCATCAAGTATCTGTCCTTTTGTCATAAAGTACCCCATCCTCGAGAGAGGGTAGGACAGAATGAGCCGGGGGGCCCTCGTGTTATTAATACAAAACAACTCACAATATATATGGTATATAATGCTAAACAATATATATACAAAAAGCATGCATATAAATTCAACACTATTGGCATATTTAAATTATTACATACAGTCGAAGCTTTATATATTGAACTTCCCTTCCATATATAGAAAATCTCTATGTTTCAAACTTTTTTTAACAATCTTGACTTTTTAAGAAAAAATATATTACTTATATTTTTTATTGAATAAAAAGTGACTGTTAAAAAAATGTAATAGGTAGTCATCAAAAAGTTCCTTCAGTTTTCATAAGAATGGATATTAATTGAAGACATAAAAATGAATAATAATAAATAAAAAAACATGCTTCACGGTTTCACAAAGCAATGGAAATTTAGAAAAGACCTTGAATAAGTAGAAGAAACTTTGGTAACCACAGTATTCAGAATCCCTGAATATGTGTCTTAATTTAGAGTAAAATTTTCATTTTAAATTCTGTATTAATCTATCTTTCTTATTGTGAACATAGTTCCTAAATGAAAACCATTGATTGGAAAAGAAAAATTCAATTTGATAAAAAACCTAAAAAGCGAAATGAAAAATAATGATGAGGTAAAAAAATATGAAGTAACATTTAAGGTATCAACAATTTTAAAATAAAACAATGATTTGGTTATCAAAGTGTTCGAAAGTATTGAAAAAATTTAAATCTTTGAAATTTGATGAAATAGTGAGTTGAAAATTTAAAATCTTAAATTTCAATCTTACTATATACCAAATGTTTTTGATAGAACCTTCATGTTCGATATATATAGAGAGAGTTTTGACTATATGAGTAAAACTATGAAAATTTGTTTTAATTCATATTATTTATCAGGAGGATATGAAAGCGGCATTCTTCAAAAAGTTGAACTGGACCTGATAAGTGAAGAGAAATGCAAGAGTGTGTATGATTTTGAACGTGTTGCTCTTTCGCAAGGCATTACACCTGATACTATTTTCTGTGCTGGTGGGAAGGAAGACAAAGATACCTGTCAGGTAAAGATTTGAATATCTCCATAAATGTGATATTAGGGCCCAGATTTCTATGTAGTAATACCCTTCAAAATGTGCCATTATAATATGTAATAAAAATTGCAAATCTTCAGCAGAAAAATCTCCAAATACACTATATTACAGTTAAAATATTCAATTAGCATGCTTTAAAAAATTCCTGGAACAAAAAAGAAATTAGAGGAAGGATTGATTATCAAATGAAAAAAAATTGTTTATATACAATATTAATTAAAGTATGATGTGAAAAACAAAAAAAAAAATAGGAAATAAAAACATATATTTATTAATGGTTAAAAACAAAATATGAAACACCTTTAAAAAAAAAAAATGTCAAAATAATATAAAATTCCATGTACTAACAAATAAATGCATAGTAAAAAACATTTTAAAATATGTAAATGAATGTGAAAATAGCTAAAGCACAATTTAATATTAATTATAAACCACTAGCTGATCCAAGATTTAATTTTGGGGGGGCTTCGTCCCGAAAGATTTTTTTTTTCATATATATAACGATAATTACTTTAGAAAATAAAGAAAAATACCAACTACCTATATGAAATGGTGTTGTAGTAATTCTTCAAGTCCTACTAAATGTAATTACACGAACCATCATACTTTAAAAGATAATTTTTTTTACTTATCTAGGCTTCAGGCCTAAAGCCTCCCTCACTCCCCTATAGATTCACCTCTGTTCTAAGCATAACATGATAAACATTTTAAAAATTAAAATAATAGAAACTTCTAGTCAGTAATGAAAGAAATCACTATGATGGTGATTAAAAACTGATTAACAACATATAGAAATAAAATAAAAAGCAAATTGATTAATAAGTGATTTATTCAGCAATAAAATCAATAAATGACTATTACACATATATATTTATTGATATTGACAATATATTTATATTATATTGACTATTATACTATATATAAAAGAATAATTTCTGAAAAACCTAATATTTTTACTTTCTACATCAACATACGTGATAGGAGCAATTTTATATATATTCAAAATTATCGACTTGTTTTCAATAGAAACTTTTGAAAAATAGATGCAGAAAATGACTTTCAGTGAGTTTTAAAAACTGTTTCACCTTTCTGATTGTAAGGGTTGATCCTATGTTTCAATTTTAGATAAAATGATGCAATTAAAATAATAATAAATATAATAGATTGTAAAGAAAGTAAAGAATTGAAAATGAGTGTAGTGTTTAAAAGAGATAGGAAGGCCAGATAATAAATGAAAAAAAAAATTCATTTATGCAATGATTTTATTGCTTAGGAGTCTTTGAAGAACTCCTTTAGAGTTTCTGTATAGGGTGGCCTTGATGAGCATGTTGGCTGCCCTGCTACTATTGCAGCATGAAGATATGTTCAAGTTACCAACTTTGTGGAAACAGCTATGTAATTATTATTTGTTATATGGACAATAATTTACTTTTTCCAAGTACAATAAATACACATAGTACAATAAATCCGGTTTAATTGCACCTTTTAGTCAATGGCTATACCACTAAAAGTCACTTTTCCTTTGTATGACCTGTTCAGTAAACAAACGTAAAACGTATTTTATGAAAAATTTTGAATTTTATTATTTTAATAAACTATTCCATTGCTTTTTTTTTATAGGGAGATTCTGGAGGACCATTGCAGATTATTCTTAAAGAACCATATTGCATGTACTCACAGATTGGAGTTACTGCATTTGGAGTTGGATGTGGTTATGGTACTCCTGGTGGATATACTAGAGTGTCTCACTATGTACCTTGGATTGAAAGCATTGTTTGGCCATAATTGTTTTTTATCTTTTTCACATTTGTTACAAATATGTTTTTAATCGAGATGTGATTGTTAGTTTTTTTTAAAAATGTATAAAAATCTGTTGATCAGTGTGTGATTCATTCCATGACATTTCTATCATTAAAGAATATACAATTAGAAATAAAATTCTTCATATTCTAAATGAACTAAATAAGGAAATAGAGAACAAAATGAAAACTGGAAAAAATGTGAAAATTTATTAAAAAACTACAACTACATATTTATATTTTAAAAAGTCTATCGTTTACTAATAATAAACTATTCTATTAAAAAACAAAAATAAAAAAAGTTACAACATAAACTAAGAGAAACACTCACAAAAATTAACAAAGATTGAAAGAGCCAGAACTTTGTTATTCCCCCCCTTCCCTGTATGTTTTTGAGGCGCATATTGAACAAGATTTGTTGAACTCTCTAATGTTATTTTTGCTTTTTTCAAATCATTTCTATTTTATTTCTATATTTTGAAATATTCTACAGAACTCGGTGCATTATAGAGTGACCTTTTTTTATGATTTGTGCTATATGTTTTGGTTCATAGTCCTGTACAAAAATCTTGACTTTTAACAGATGTTCTTAAAATGGCCTTATACCAATTTGTACAAATCTTTCTATATTTTTTATCTATAAATACTAAATTTTCCATCCCAGCAGATGACATAAATCCCTGAACAGTTTTATATATATATACACCACCATATTTCATTATTGGTAAAACATTTTTTATTAGTATACTTTTTTTTTCTCCATACTTTATGAACATGTTATTTTCAATTAGGTTAAATGTCCCTTCCTTTGTAAAGAGTACTGGGTTCCAATAATTTAAATCATTACCTTTTCATGAATTTCCATAATAATAATAAAGTTTATTAAGTCACTACATTAAAAATCATATTAAAGTCACTATCAAATGGGTACCTGCTCATTCTGGTATCACTGACAATGATAAAGCGGGCTAAATCAGGAAAGGCTTTGAAAAGACCCACATAATACCCTAACCGATATGTGAGATAAGCATGACCAGTGTCGAGAAATTTATGGTGAAAAAGGTAGGCAATATTGACACTAAGAAACAGATTCACTCTAGGCTGTTCTTTGCTGCACCCTGTGAAGAGAAGCAATATACTGATTAACTTAAAGTAGAGATTCTCTCAGCATTATAACAGCAATATATACGAGTCACAGCAAATTAAACTACCAAAAGTTCAAATTCGAGTTGACAGTCACCTGACAGTTAAGGAAAAAAAAATTAAATATATGAGAGCAGGTCCTCAAGGAATGGATCAGGAGGAAGCCCAGATAGAAACAGGAGACTGCACATTTGAGATGGTGAATGAATTTATTTATTTATGATCACAGATCAACGCAGATAACAACATGCAGCGAGAAATAAATAGAAGGATGATGGCTGCAAATAAGTGCTATTTCGGGCTCCTAAAATATCTTAAAAGTAAAACCCTTTCCCGAAACACTAAAGTGCAGCTATATAAAGCGCTCATAAGACCTATCCTGACCATTGCTGCTGAATGCTGGACAATCTCACGAGCTCAAGAACTTCTACTCCTAAGATTCGAGAAGTGGGTCCTAAGAAGAATTTTCCGGCTGATCTTCACCAATAATGTCTGGTGACAGAGAAAAAATGCTGAAATAGCTAGCCTGTACAAGAATATAAATGTCGTAAGATTGGAAGACTTTGCTGGGTGGGGTATGTCGCTAGAATGAAAGATGATAAGATCACGAAGAAAGTACTTGAAGAAAAGATATATTCCTAGAGAAGAATCGGTAGGCCAAGACTGCGGTGGGACAACGGAGTGGCAAAGGATGCGTTGTCCATCTTAGAGGTGCGGAACTGGAAAGCAGCAGCAATACACCGGGATAACTGGCAGTCGATGCTGCATGGGGCCCTGACTCACCACGTGTTGTAGTGTCGAACAACAAGAAGAGTCACCTTTGTGTAGGTCCTAACTACAAATATAAATCTAGACTATGAAACAGCTTATCATATCACCTTTCGGTGTGACAGGTTCACAGGTACTAGGCTATTGTTGTTAAGGAATGATAGATTGCCTAATCGGAAGAAATGCATGCTTCTCAATCCAACAAGACTTTTAGTTTGCTAACACTGCTAAAATAATGCTTTCAAAGAAATATTGGACAACTACGTTGCATAAAAGGACTATTATGCCTGTAGTGCATTTCCTTTTTAAAGAAAAAATATTTTCTCTGACCTTGACTATCTCAAAATGAAATAATTTTGTTGAAAAAAATATTAAATTTTAAATAATAATTGTTTAGATTTTGTTCATGATTATAATTTATAGGTTAGGCGTGAGCCTATATTTGACTAGTTTTTTGTTTTTATTTCAATTTAAGTAGTAATTATTAAAAACAAACCATTAACTAGCAAGGTCTTGAAGATCAAATTGGAGTTGGGCAATTTGAATGAGGCATATGAAACAATTATACTAAGTAAATTGACTTATATTTCATTAAATACTGTTTGCATTTTCATTTACGTTGTCTTCTATTTTACACTGTTTATACTAATTTCATTCTTTAAGTATAACTTATATCTTCAGGATTATATTTCTGAAATAATCTTTGAAGATTTTCTTCTGCTCATTTCTTATTTATTACTTCTACGAGTTATATTTATTTAAAAACTTATACAATAATTGCCTGAAGTAAATGTATTTAAAAGAAAGAATTAAATGTCTCGTTTAAAAATGATAGTGAGGATACTAACGGATCCAGGACTTAATTTTGGGGAGCTTCAGCCCGAAAGCTTTTTTTTTTGTATGTATATATTACGATAATTAGTTCGGAAGAAAGAAAGAAACAAAATACCTATATGAAGTGGAGTTTAAGTGATGTAAAAATGTAGAGCATAATAATTTAAGACAATTAGTTAATGAAAAGTAGATAAATAAGACACAGGTAATCATTGATAGTTTATTGGCTATAACAATTTTTTTCATTATAAATAAATAACAATATATATAAACATTCAATATAATAAAATGTACAATAGCTACAGAGTGCATTTTAAGTAAAAAATTTAAAATACATCTATCGCATGGCAACATTTCAGTGTTTATTATTAAGTTCATAAATATATTTCTCATTCCATTTATTTATTTTTTTAATCCAACATATAATAAATGGCTTATAATTTGAGGGAAGGAAGATTTATGAACATAAGAAATATGAGGCGAATTGCAAATATATTCAACAGTATGATGAAAACAATGGAAAGAATCAAAATTGTAACAATGAATTTCATTTTTAAAGAGTTTAAATTCAAAAAAGGTTTCATCATATAATTAATGATAAAACATTGATTTAAAAAAAAGTCTATTTTTAAAACTTCAAACTGCAAAAACACACTACTTAAGAATGTTTTATAAACTGATTAACAAGCATAAGGTTTAAAAGAATTTAAATATAAAATAGGTTTAAGACCTCCTGTTACTTACTGCTTACTTAATTTGAAGGGAAAAACAACAATTATATAAATACAATTTATACTTGAAGCTGATGAAATATAATTAAAATAATACATAGTGAATAGAAGATAGAACATGGAGAAACAACTTCTAAAAAGCTCATTAATTATTTATTTAAAAAATTAATGCTAAACCACTAATATAAAAATTAAAAGAAATCTCTATCAGTCGAATATATTCAAGAGAACTACAATTATTATTAGAAACATTCAGTACATAATATAATATAAATTGAAATAAAATTTCCAAACTTTTAAAAGTAAATATGTGTGCATGTACATTTTTAATTACCGAAATAACAAGAAAAATATATTTTCCAAAAAGAAAAGTTACTTAAACAAACAAGTTGTATGTATCTTCATACTGCATGTGATAATTAATGTATTATTAATTATGTATACATAAATTTGATTAATAATGTCTATGAAATTAGAAAACATAATAGTAAAGTTTTTAAAATAAAATTGTGACACATAAGTCGAGTGTAATTATTTAAACTGAAAAAAAACTCATCTTTAGGTCATTTGATTAGATTTCATCCAAAAAAGATGGGCAACTAGAACCATATTAAAAATCTATAAGAGAAATAAAAATAAATAAGATGGTTAGTTGACTGAATCATAAATTAATGGTATGTTTGAAGTATTGTACAACTGTCAAAAGCATTGAGGAAATAAAAAACGTATTTTTTATTTGTTAAATCAATAACTACAACTTTCTTGCAAAAACAAAATGAGGGAATAATGTCTTTTTGAACATTTGTCACTAATATTTTTCTGGTAAAAAAATATGTCTTATTTCAATAACCTCACTGCAAAAGCCTGTAAGGAAAATTTCTTTGGAAAATGAGATTTTGATCTTTTCTGATCAATCTTGACCTGGCGCATATTCTGACCCAACAAAATGAAATCTACGATGTTTCATTTCTTCTCTAGGACCTGTTTTAAAAACCAGCAAACTGTGATGTAAAAAACTGTAAGTTAAAGTGAAGGTTTTTTTAATCGAAATTGAAAGAAGAGATTGTGTCTTTATCAAAAAAACATAATGAAATAATCAACAAAAGGTGGTCATATATAACTATAGAATCTATAAACCGTTTTGCAAATAGACTACAGTATCAATTAGCTTCATTAATAGGCTAAAATTAATTTTTCTCGTACCCTTTGTATTCTTTTTTAATTTCTAATAACTGTCAGGCACTTTCAGCCCGGCGCCTCTGGCCAAATGCCCGGGTTCCCTGGCCTTAAGGCCAGCCCTGCTTACCATGGAACTAGACAAAGCAAAGAGGAGAGTGGTAAGTGGAAATATAATATTAAACGGCCTTCAAAACAATCGAAACCTTCTGGCAACCGGAAAGAAGCTAATTCCAGATAGTGAGAGACAGAGAATTGATTTCACTAATTGGAAAATTTAACTTAGGACGAAAAAAGAACTCTAGTTTCATCTTTTCAAATCAATGAATCTTCGAAGTCGCAAGAAGCTCATAAACGAAGTGATCAGCAGGTTTCCTAGAACTGAACCATATAAACTATATAAAGTTGAGTACGTTACAAATCAAACTGTCATAGAGTACTCTAAACTGGGGCTGTACCTGTCTAATATCTGTTTTTCAATGCAGCTAAAAAGCTATAAGTTAAAGGTAATGGCTATGATAGATTAATTGGCAAAAATACGATCAAGAAAGTTACTTAGAGCATTACATCTTTGTTTTAGCAAATAAAATTGGACCAAAAATATAATGCTTATAGAACAAAAATTAGTTTTATTCAACTCCTGAAAATTTTTAGTTTTTGTTCTTACAGGCTTTCGCAGTATTTATAGTTTGATTTTTCAGAATTATATTTAAATACGAAGGGAGAAAAGAAGCAATGTCACATTTTATCAAAAATTGTGTTATTGGTGGGTTAATTTAGATGAAGGAAAACATTACAATGATATCAGATTCAACTAACAGAAAAACAAATTAAAAATCGTTTAAAAAACTAAAAGAAAAAAAGTCTAGATTTAACTTTGAATATCATTTTTTTATCTTTTTCATATTTTGCAGATCGGGCTTTTAACCAATAACAGTCTCTCTATATTTTATATTATTTTATTTTACATCTCATATACAGAAAAGCTTTCGGTGTACCTCCAACATACTTCCACGATTACAACATATCATTAATCAAAAACATTAACAATTCATACATATTGCATATTTTCTAATAGTCATGTAACTATTATCATATCATATACCTTTTTCTTTCTTTTTTAACTATAGAGATGAATATGGTGTAAGTAAACCGAAAGCTTCTCTGGGTATAAGATGTAAAATAAAATAATATAAAATATTAGAGAGACTGTAATTGGTAAAAATCCTGATCTTCAAAGAATATTAAACTGTCTAATATTACTTTCAGAAAATCTTATATTTAAGATAGCTTATCAGACAATATTTTATATTTTAATAAACAGTTTGATATTAAATTGAAGAAATTATAAAAATAAGATTGATATTTGAGCTAATAATATAGTACAACACCGACAATAAACACTGCTTGAACCATATATATTTTTTCTATATACTATTTTTACATATTTACAAAGAGTATATGAATTAAAAATAAGTAATAGTTTTCATTATACAAATATATTGAACAAACGGTTATTAAATTTAAATGACCAACTTTTAAAATATTTTAAATGAAGATAACAGACTTACATTAGTATGATCTATAAAAACATAACAGAATTGACATAGAATATATTAAATAATAGTTGATTATGTTCTCCGTATAGTAAAATATATACATACCAACTAATTATGTGTGTTTGTACTGAGTCAAAATGCGATTCATTAATTTCGACAAAATACAAGCAAAAAGCAATCAATAAATTGATTTATAGAACTATAATAGACATATTGGCTAATTTCTGTTTTGTTTTGTTAGTTTTATTTTCAATTGAGCATGAAAATTACTAATAATCAAAACAACATTTCATTCTCTCTTTCAAAAAATAATAATGTACATAATTATCACAGACTTTGAGCATAAACTCAGAAATAAAAATTAACAACAAAACAACACAATTCTAACCCATAACAATGCAACTGCTACAATTTGGCTACCTAAATAAAATGCAGGAAATATACTTGCTAAACAAACTCATGTTTAACTTTTTTTTTTTTTACAGCATCCTAATAACTTAATCCAAAGAGTGGGGAGTCATCAATATATACACATTTATAATACATATAATAAAATATCAAAGTTTCCAAAAATTGATTTGGTAATCTAAAAAAAAATATTTAAAATATTTATATAACTTCACATCATGATGCTGGAGGACTAGCTTCTTTTTTGCTCAGTAATTCATCAATCTAGAAAAATAATACATAAATATAAATAAATATATATATATATATATAAATATATATATATATATATTGTATAAATATGTGACCAAATTATAATGTTATTTTATTTAGTTATTATGTGATTCATTCATAAATAGTAATATAATAACAAAGTTTGGATAAAAATAACACTGCAATTGTAAAAACGGGTTAAATAACACTTCTTTAATATCAAAAGATTTAGAGATGTTAGAACTATTTTTAACATTCAATATTGTTAAATTTATTTTAGATATAAGGTAAATTTACTTAAGGAAGCTGTTATTTATTTATTTAATGAATAGTAAAATTAAGAAACCACCACTACGCTGAGTTAAAGTAGCTTTTCCCCTCCTTCCGAAGACAATATTTCCTAGGAACGTTCCTCTACCAAATCATCAACAACCATCGTCCTTCTTACGCCTACAACCTTCTCTAGTTCAAATCCTCAGTCCATTCCATGTCCACAAGATCTCAACCTTCCAACCTTAACATGCCTTCTCACAGATCTGCCTCATTCCAAAATTCCTTTATTGTTCGCTCTGTCAATTTCTGGAATTCCCTCCCTATCAAAATTCGACATTCCCCATCCATATCCACATTCAAAACCCTCCTATTCCAATTCCTGTCCCAAAAACAGTCAGATAGTTGCTAACCATTCGAGCTGATTTTAATAAAAAATTTGATACATTTTTATTTTTTAATTATTTATTATTTTCTTAAAAGTGTATACTAGTCTATCAGTGCAAATAGCTTTAAGTGTTTTGTCATAGTATTAATTGTTTTGTATATAGTTTTGTTTGTTTTGTATATAGAGTTTTTACCTTATATTTTTTACATTATTTCTTTTTTTCGATTGATTTTATTTTGGCCAGATGTAATATTTTAATTGTGTTCTATTTTGTTATTCTCAAGGGACTGTGTCCCAGAATAAAGTTATTTTCCTATTCTATTCTATTCTATTTATTAATCAATTACTCTAAAGAATAAATAAGAAGGTTAAATAAATTGTGCTCTAACAGGATACTTTTTTCTCTGCAAAAACTTTTCATTAATTTTTACTTTAAAATTATTTTTTTAAATACATGCTCCATTTGTTTCAATAATTATACAGGGCTACAAGAAGTCTGGAACTGATTTTAGCTATATTTGGAACACTAAAACCTGCTTGACCAGGCTGGGAATCACTACTAAGTCACCGGGGATTCCATCTTTTATTTTAATGCATAATATGACTAATATTTATAACATAAACAAAGAACATCTTTTAGCAGCATTGATGACATTTATTGTGTATATATTTTAGAACACTATCAGAATAAAAAAAATCTTACCTGAGCTTTATACATTTCTTTGACATCTTGAAGATCCATTCTCAATTCTTGGCTTTCTTCAAGTTTTTCGCCATACATCTGCAGGAGAGCATCATATTGTGTCCTGAAAGAAAAAAAAAAAAAAAAATAAATGTAATTTGGTTAAACATTTAGAATAAAAATGTAACTGGATGCAGATCAGGTGGTTCGATTGGGAAGAAATTCAGGTAACAATCAATAAAATCTCAGGGAAAGACTTTCTAAAAAAAGAAAAGATATAAATTTGGAAAATGTGGCAAAACAAATAGGAACAGTCAAAACTAAAATAGATAATACGTCACTGCTTCAAATGGAAAACCTCCAACAGAATATCCAGATAGGAAGAAATTGTCCTCTGCTGGTCAAGGATTGGGCACTGCGACTTTTTTTTTATGCACACTTACTTAATGGAATTGAAACCCCAGCATGGAAAATCTGCAATGTTCAATAAAAAATCAAAGAAACAATTCAAGAATACCCCAAATTCAAAACTTATGGGAACAATTAGGAATACCGCTGTCAATAAAATAGTTTGATGATGAACAAACCATAAAAAAAACAATAAAAAAAAAAAAACTGATCTCTTGATATTGATAAAATTCTACAACAAAATTTAAAATAAATAATACACTCATAGAATACACATATACTGAACCGGACACTAACTTGAGCAATGAAAACGATGAAAGATCTCCTGACAGCTTTTCCAATTTCGCAGTCAGTGATGACACTTCATCCCTTAAACTGGTCTTTTCTGAATCTAGCCTGGCTATTTCCCATTGAAGTTGCTGAATATCACCTGAAACAAATACATAACGATATCATTCCATAAAAGAAAACAAAATGGCCTGATATATAAGCAATGCGATTTGATCACATAAATTTACATTACTATTCTTTGTTCAAGGCACAAATAACAATAAGTCAAAAGAATTACTTAATACTATTGAGCGAATAATCAATTGTACTTATTTATTAGCAGTTCAATAAAAAGATAAATTAATTAAAGAACTCTAATACTACATCACATATATTTAAATACTTTTTGTGGGCATATTTTAAGGATTTTGTAGTAAATATAAATCTGATCTATATTAATCTGAGCAGGAGAAATTTATGATAAAGAAACTAGTAAATTAAGTTTAAGGAAAATAATAAATGTTATAATATAATAAAGAAAAGAAGTTTAATCCACAACTAGATATAATTTTTCTATATTTACCACTTACCATCTCTAAGTTTAAGTTGTGCTTGTAAATTTTCAATGTATGAAGTGTTATTTGCTGGTCTTAATACATCATAGCGACCGGAATTGGAAGATGTTTCAAGCAAATCATCAGCAAACTGAAAAATCAAAAAGGAAAATAAATACTGTAAAATATATGTCCTTAAACTAATAGAAATGTAATAATAATAACTCCTAAAGTCAATAGCTGTTTCATAATTCTAAAGTGAATCAGAAGGTGATGAGCTAGTATTTATTGCAAAGAAATGTAAGAGGTACAATGCTAGAAATGCACATATGCCATTAAAGGAGACACAACAATAGATAAAACCACAAAAGGTACTTTATGTCAAAAATAGAACATATTGTAAATATAAAATTAGGTTTTCAAATCATTGATAAATGAAATTCAACCATTGGCAAATAAAGTATTTCAAAATAACATTTTAATATATTAAAACTGGTTCTCAAGGAAGAATAATAGGTAAATCACATCTATTTATGAAAATAAATTTTCCAACTTATATGATAAATTTTCATTTATTTTTATCTTTGATGTATATACATAACTAAGCAAAAGAGCATCCTAAAGAGGGAGAAATGTCCAAAAACGTTGATACAAGTACGTTGGAATAAATAAAAAATGACGGAAGATCTATTATGTACGCCAAAGTTGAAAACAGCTGTTATTAAATTGATATAGCCGAGTTTATGATAATTTCTTTAAAGCAAGTCCTGTTTGTTCGTTAATACATTAATCAAACTATTTTTTTTTTTCATTTCTTATTAAAAATAAAAGTATACCAAGAGCGAACAAAAAAAAAAAAAAAAAATGAATTATAGCTAACATTTTGTATCAAACATAAAATTAGTTTTTTAAATCCAAAAGGGCGAAATTGATCTGCAAAAGAGTTAGTATAAAGGCCATAACTTATGGTAAATACCACTTTCACCCATAAAATTTTTAAATAAGCTAATACTATGAATTTAGCTAAAGAGATTACTGTTAGAGAACAACTTACATTTGGCCAGATGTTGCTAGCAAATGATTCGCTAATAGAAGATCTTCCTAAGCTCAAAGTCGGTGAAGATCTAGGACTTGCCCCAATTTGAGGAGATGACTGTATCCTACTATTTCTTAACTGCTCCTAAAAAATATAAATATACATACAATCAGAAACTAGACTGATAGAACATTCATAAAACAATATAAATAACCTCAATTTTTCAAAAACCTGAAGTAATCATGGAGAAAATATGGTAATCAGAAAACTATAAATAAACATTTTTATGGATAAAGTATTATTCTATCTTAAATTTAACGATTTAAGATACCTAAAATCAACAAAATAGTTATTAAAAAGTTGCATTCCTTTGTTTTTAAAGGTATAGTTATTAATATCTTTGAGTGATATTTGGCTTAGAAAAACCTTTGAAATTAATATAAAACATAGTACGATTCATGCTGATATTTTGAACTAGAGGAAACCATAACCTTTTTCAATCATTTTAAAAGTTATACCATAAAAATCGCCTCAAAGCACCATTCCCTCCAAAATGCTGAACTGAATTAGATATTAGATACTTTATTTGATGATAATTTATTTCAAATTTTTCCTCCTCACAATAAATAAATTCATATGTTTAATTTCAATGAAACACAATTAATACAATTAAATAAAAATTCACTAATATAGAAAAACAAAATGTAAAAAAATAAATTTTACCTGTAACGCTAAACATTTTCTTTTTTCTGCATCCAATGCTGTCCGCTCAATACTAAGCAACTCTTTTAAAGAAGTTGTTTCTCGTTTTTTGGCTTCGAGATCATTTATCAGTCTTTCTTTCTCTTGCTGGAACTTTTTCATTTCACTAAAACAAAGTTTTTATTAAAATTATGAAGATTTTAAAAATAATAGACTGTGCCATAAAAAATTACTAATCCAAGTTTCAACAAAATAACAACAGACCGCACTCTACATTACAAGAAACAGTAAAATTTAGAACTGGATGAGATAGAGTTTTCTCGGGGGAGAAATATGGACTCAACTTACACTTGGCTTAAGAAAAGAAAAATCTTTGGGGGTAGCAGAATTCTATTAGAAACGCAAAAAGTGATATTTTGAAGAAATTTTACAGCTAGCCTCTTTCTTTTTTTTTTTTTTTTTTTTTCTTTATCAGACAACTGTTTCTTACTTAATATCTACTTATAATTCATTTATTATATTCTCACCATGTACCTTTTATATTTTGTATCTTTTGATACGTTACCCCGATGAAGACCTACAAAGTGGGTCGGAATGTAGGTGTAACAAATAAAATACTATTTTTAAAAATTTAGTATTTATTTTACCGCACCCCCTGACCAACTCCTTCTCATATTATATCACGGTCAACCATCTCTACACCAAAATAAGCAAGAAATAAAAAAATAATTTTCTATGATTCACATTATTAAATAAATAAGAATATTTAGATAGTATTACCTATTTTTCAAAACTCGTAACTTTTCCATGGACCCTTTCATTAAATCCAGTTCTTTCAAGAGGGTCTCATTCTGCTGGCTCAGGGAGGATGATTTGTCCTGCAGTGAAGCAATAAGAGATGCTGAGGCTTCATATTCCTCCCTCACGCTGCGCTCACGTAAAGAAAGGGAGCTAACTCTAGTCTCCAGTTCGGCTGGAACACCAAGTATGAACCTCGGTAACATTATGAGTGATATTATGCAACTGATTTGGAAACATTTAAAGGTTAGGAGGGACTAAAGGTTAAAGTCACGGCAGTCTGAAAGGTCACCCTGAACTTCAACGTCAACATAAAGGACCTTTCGATTAACTGAGTGGGTCAGAAGCATTAAGTAGTCCAAGTATAAAGTTTAAATAATAATACTTATATACAGAAAGACATAAATGTGGGCTAAGGAGCCTCAGAGATACATAAATAAAAAAACAGAGTAATTAAACAGTCATAGTAAAAAAATAAAAAATTATAAGTTACTTTCTAATTTTAAACAGTTAATAATAAAAATAAAAAATTGAAAAAAAGGATGAAGTAAAAATAATGAAGAGCAAACTAATAATTTATATACATATTTAGATTAGTATTTACTAACAATTTCATGAGAACTGGAAGGATAACAAATGATTGAACAGGCGGGATTTAAAGGTAGGAAGCGTATTCGATTGAGGAATGTGAGAGGTGATGGAGTTCCAAAGGGATGAGGTCCAGATAATGAACGATCTACCGAAAGCAGCGGTTCGGTGAGCCTTTATGTATAAATCAGAAGACCAGGAACGAGTATTGCGGGAACGAACAGAGGATTTGAATTGAAGGAGCTTGGAGATGAATGAAGGATGATGGGATTTGGAAGGATAGGAGATGGCCTCGGATCTTCTTCTCAGACAGTCCAGTCTATCCAAGTCTTCTTGAAGTTTTCTGTGGCTGATTATAGGTTGGAGGAATGACATTGACATGGGAATGACATTGAATATTTATATTGAGTCATATTTATTTTAAAAAATTTTTATTTACAAAACTCTGCCCTAAAATGTATATTTTTCATTTCACTTTACAAATATGAAACGCGTAGTAAGGAGAAGTATTGCGATCATCAAACATTTTTAATACAAGTTTTTATTGGAAATACATTTTAAGGAGTCTATTCAAATAATGAAGTCTTGCAAAATGGTTCCGGGATGACAACGGGATATTTGTGTATGGAACTGCCTACCTTTTTAGACAAAATTGGCTAACTGGAATTGATATTTTACATCTTTTTACAATTTTATATAAAATTTATGGAAGGAAGGGTAAAGCCACTTTGATAGTTTCATAAAAACGGAAAACAGAGGCATCCCGAAGATGAATCATACAAAGCAATTTATCAAACATTTTAGTTACACCTCGAAATCCCCAGAGATGCCCCTATATAACTTACAGCAATAGTCAAAGTATTATATATTATATAGAATTATAAATGTGGGTTGATGGTTGACTGTAGTGAATAATGAAGAGAAGGATAATTTGGGATGATCAGTCAAAAATACCAATTCTCATACCAATTGTTATCTGGTTCTTTTCTCAGCCCTGATGAAGGCCTGAACTTCAGGTCGAAACGTCGGCAATTGTTAAAATAAATATTATTATTTATTTTTGCAATTTTTATTTTTGACTGATCACCTTAAACTATCTTTCTCTTCATATAAAATTATAGTTCTATATTACAAGGTCCTGAGGTCATCTTCTTCTCAGATGCCTCAGAGGGTTGTCAGGAATCGAAGAGGAAGCAAGGTTAGAAACAAGAGGGTTCAGATAGTTCAGAAGTCTATTATGAAAGGATAGGTATCTGGATTGGATCAAATACAGAATATTTAGATCATTATGTATTATTTCATTAGTGAAAAAGTAAGGTGTATTGAGGATTTTGGATTCTAAGGATTGGATACGAGAGGAATTCAATGGTTTAGTGAAGTCCAAAAGCTCAACCCCGTGAGTCCAAATAGGCCTAATTATAGTTATGTTATGAGTCTTTTGTAATTAATTGGAAGTTTAGGCCGTTTGTCTAGTGCTGAAGCCCTAAATGCTGAAGTAGTCGGAATATTCGAGTGGTTTCTTGTCGTTTCAGTCTGATATGAGAATGTTTTATATAAATTAGTTTAAGCTTACCTATTAATGAATTCAATTGGGCCTCCCTTGCTTCCCAAGAGGCCCTGGCAGAAACCTGGAGCTCAGTCAGGACTTGAACTTGCCTGGCAAGTGGTGCAGTTGCTAAAGTTGCCGTTTCTGCTTCTGTTTCAGCTCTCCTTTCCGCTGCTTCAGCACGGGAGAGCAATTCGCTTCTTTCTCTACGATGGGTGGCTTCTGCTCTGTTAAAAATTGTTAACATTATTATTTTCAATTCTCTGACAGCCATTAATCAAATAATTACCCAAAAATGCATTTCTTTATATGACCTGTGAAATCAGCAAAAAAAAAAAAGCTTCATCATCATTTCTATTTTTTACATAAATTCAAGTTCTATGATTAGTCATTTGAGAATAATATTTATAGGAGAAACCATTATCGAGGTATATTCTTGACAAGGATAAAAAGTTATACCTAAGCGAAAGAAGTGGATGCAATTCAATAAAATCTATAGTATTAGACCATCTTGATAACAGCCCTCACAATATTTTTTTTACTGGATTACTCCCTACCCCCTACCCCCTACCCCATAACCATTATTTCTGGCATACAGGAAGAGGGAAGGTACAACCAACAAACCTATTCCAACCAAAGTGGGGAGGGTCGATTTTCATTCTGTGGGTCCGCAACCAAATAAAAGTCAACTCCTCCCAGGCCAGATTCGAACCAGTGTCGCTAGGCATGAGAATGCTAAAACGGTCAATGCTCTAACACCCTCGACCATCACGACCTCACCCAACTCTCATAATCTCAGGAAATTTTATCAAACCAAATCAACGATAGTTATATCTGAATGTCTTTCAGAAAGACATCAAATTTAAAGACTTTATAACCTTCCATCACCATATGTTTTCCAATACCATATAGAATTTGATTAAATTGATACTAAAATTGATTTGTAAGGATGAAAGATAGTCAAAATATGCGGTCAATATTCAAGTCTATTTATAAACTATAAAAATGAGTTTATTAAAATAATAAACATGATTTTTTACAGCATGTACTGACTATTTTTCATCTTTACAATTTTTACAGTCAACTATACATCCATTATATTATATTCCCAAAATTTCTTCCAGCTTTGGGCCAAATGGGAGGGAGTGTGGTTGCTCTGTGGTAGGGCACTAATCTCCTAATGCTCAAGATCCCGAGTTCGAATCCTGGCTCATGGTAGAAAAATTATTTATTCTGTTTCATCAGCCGTGGGCGACCATGGGATCAGGAGAACCTCTTGGGGTACACCCAGTTTCAATAAAGTGGACACCCTTAATTAAATAATTAATTAAGGGAGAGACGTGGCAGTTGAGTGTGATCTCAGTCAAATCACCTCCTTGCATAACTGTTGACTAAGAAACAGTAATTTCCCTAAATAGTGCTGAACCCAAAACCCTTCATGGGTTGTTGTGGTACACGTTCTTTTTTTTTGGGGCCCAAATCGAACAAGTCATTTTTGAAATATAGACATATAAATGAAATTAGGTGCCACTGTAACTGTAAGTGGATGATGGAATTTGACAAAATTTTTAACTACTTGATATTTTTTTGTTTACCAATTTTTAACTTCTGTCCAACATTGGACTAAATCAAATGGTTCATTTTTTAAATATAGGTTCTTGAAGAAAGCTATGCTTGTTTCTCCATAAGCAAAAGCACAGATTTTAGAATTACATAAAACTGATACTGGATCATTGTAAAATTAACTCCTAACTTTTCTCCAATTTTGAACAAAATCGAAAAAGTCAAAATATAGGTGTATCAATGAAGATTTGAGCAACCACAGTCCTTGACTGATATTTACTCCTTAAATGCCTCCCTAGCCCAAAGATATAGAACACAGACAAACATTGAATCGAATATGTTTCTCAATTCGTACTTCTTAAACATGAATGGAAATATTCTGAGCACAAAAGCTTTTTAACTTCCCACATGGAAACAAAGCTTCTGTACCCTCATTAGTTAAGGAAAATATATTTATTTATTTGGCAGAAAATACATGTTTTTTTTTTTCTTTTACTTATAGAATTTTCTTATTCACAATTCCATTTACCTTAGCATGGCGCTACCTTCACCATAAAAGAAACAAAAAAACTAAAAGCAAACAATAAAAATATAAAGATAAATCCTGGGTTAGAGTCCTCAGGTCTCACAAGCATTAAGATTTTCGTCAAAAGCTATGCAGATATATATACAATAACTTGCTGCGTCATAAATATTTTAAATATATATATAGACTCAATATAGGCAAAATTCAATAAAAATAAAATTAAGAATCAATTAGTTAAATTTACTTGATTAACAAAATAAAAATTAAATAAATGGACAGACATACATACACAGAGTGACACGCACATGCCCACTCATACATACAACTTACACCCGCATACACATCCACAATATTCATAAAATAATACATATTTAATAGCAGTTCAACCACACTCATTTTTTTTTTCTTGTCGGTAATATATCTCATTTAAGCACAAGTGGGATTCAATATTGAACGTTTTATAATAAATCGGATTAAAATTTAAATTATTATAACATAAAAGTTTCTAAAAAAAATTCAGTTAGGGGTGATGAATATATGATATCGCATCCAACTAAAAAATAACCCATACATTATTTCTTATCATTTTCAACGGGGTAACAATTTATGCCAACCGTAATAATAATAAATGTTCGATTAACTTGTGTTCGAAGTAAAACTTGTTTGATTACTTCTACACAGACAATAAAATAAAACTATGCAAACATATATCAAACAGAAATGAATGAAATAAACCTGATATAAAAAAGAATAACTTACCGAGAATGTTGTTCTTGCATTTCAATCATTTGCCTCCTCATATCCTCCAAAGCAGACTGAAGGGTTATTACTTGCTGTTGTGTTGCTTCGAGCTCTGTGGACATCTCCCGCCTCATCGTCTGTTCGACTTCATCTTGTTCCGTTTTAATCTTTTCTTGTAACGCTTTGTAAGCTTCCTCTTTCTCTTTTATTTCTCTAAAGAATGAACACAATAAAGTTTATAAATAAAATATTCTATTAATAAACACATTTAAAAAAAGTGACACTACAAACAAAACAAGTAAACAATCTTAACACCTGTAATAGATAAAGGTTAAAGTCAAAGACAGTAGGTTGATTATTAAACTCTGTTTGGATTATCTAAATTCTGGATTAAATGGAATTCACTTTCAAATATACATTGTAAAATATTTTGGCCTTTTTTTTACTGTCACTTACAGAATTATTTACAATAAGGGAAAGTATTGTGATACTGAAAAAATTTTAATTCAAATTTTCAACAGAAATACATGTTTTGAGATACCTCGAGTCCAAAAACCAAGTCTCGCAAAATGGTCTGGGTGTTTGTGAATAATCTAGCTTGAAAATATAAAGTTGTAGGAAACTGATAGGTAGACGCACATTTGCAATTACTTTGTGTGAAGTGAATCAGACTGAGTAGACACGTTCGGATATGTAACGCTCATTTTGGGTGAAATCAGCTCGAGTCGACTAATTGAAGTGTTTTTGCATTTGGATTAAAATATACCATCAACTAAAAATCGAACCTACATACTGTAAACAAAAGAAATTTCCAACATTACATTCTTCTTGTAATGAGCTAAAAAAGAAAATTTTATTTTGACATGACATCATCATTTTGACATGACATCATTATTCAAAAATCATTTTGACATGAATAATTTACAAATAAAATTTTCTTCTTATCATAACATTTTTCACTGACTTTCCTGAGAGGTCTACTAATGTTTCAGCAATAAAGGAGAAGATAATCCTCAAAATTATGGTTCAATCATTGGATTTGATGAAGTATTAAAGAAGATCTGCTGTATCAACAAAATAACTTTGTGAAATCATACAAAAACCTAGGTACTACGATATTGCTCTAGTTTCCCTGGAAACCTGTTCACTTTTAATTAGATTTTTAAATTTTCATAAAACTAAAAATCTGTAGGAATAGTTCAGTTGCTAATTAAAAGGCTAATTGAATTGTATACAGAGGTAATCTTAAAACTAAATACTCACATAACCATCTCCTCTCTCATTCATAGGAATCTCATCAACATACGATATATATCCCATAGAAATGTTACAATTAAGGTGAGCCTGTGTGGCTTTAAATTCTTTTACTTTTACTTATTATCTCGAAAACAGTCAATTTTTGGGCTTTCAATCACAGTTCTTGATGTCTGTGTCAAAATCTTTCAAATCCAATTTGTCCTGTCTCGCTGTCTCAGTCCACCTACTTACTACTGTCCCAATATTGAAGCCTAGTAAAATTTTTCATCGACTTTATTTATTTTTGAAATAAAAACAAAAACTGAGAGGATAAATTGATGACTTCCCGTGAAATTCTCAATAATACAATACTCCTTTCATGGCATTTTGAGCATGACAAGAGCTTATGTCTAATACAAAACTAACTTTGAAGCTTAATGGAATAATATATTTGGAGATGAATAACAAATTGTTCAGTCAGATGATAAATATAAAGCAAAAATTACATTTTTTTAAATAATTTAAATGTTAAGTGCAAAACTTTTTAACATTTAAATATAATAATATGATTATAAAAAATATAACATTTCAATTTAATATTTATTCTATGTAATAAAACTTATTATTCCTGTTTTACTTGATCTCATTTTAAAAATTATTTTAATAAAATTTCACTAAATATAAAAAATTTCAAGCTTACTTTTGCGCGGATACCAGAGTTGATGTGAGCGTAGATAAATTACTTTTGGTAAGAGATAGTTCTTTCTCCAATTGTTGATTCTGCTTTGTCAGATTGTGAACGGCCTCAATATGCATCCTTTCCATTTCTTCTTTGGCACTTATTGCTTTTTTATTTCTCTCTAGTTCCTGATTTGTACTGTTTAATTGCTCCCTGATAAAAAGAAATAAAATGTGAAAGAAATATATAAATTATTACGCAATATTCTCATGTGTTCTCGAATCCATTCTATTATTATATTTGCTTTTATTTAACAATATAAGGTAATATCTACATAATACATAATCATATAAAAAGTATATTTGAAAGTGGCAGATAAAAATTATCAATACCTGAGATTGGAAATAGTTTTGATATTTTCTTTTTCTGAAGCACGCAGCTTTTTGATTGCATTGTTCAGCGTCAGCTGTTGTTTACTTAATTTTTCTCCTTCACTCCTCAATTCTTCAATAAGTTGGTCTTTATTCAATTCTTCTTCCTTCTCTGTTGCAAGTGATTTTGCTTGCTAAACAAACATAGAAGAATAAAAAAGTTTATTAATTTTTTTCTTAGTTGCCAAAATTTAAACCTCATAAATCTACAGCATTCAGATACGATAAATTTGCAATTTCAAAAGAAATCAATTGAAATTACAGCCAATTATTTATATTATTATTCTAATACATAAAAAGTACATTCATAATTAGAAAATTATTACATAATAGTCAAAAACATTTTATCTTTGAATTAAATAGCTGTGGCAAGACAAGTTCATGAAATAATCAAAACCATAATTGTCACAAATGATAACTGCCATGATGAAACTTTCTGATTAACAATGTAATGGTTAATGATAAAATGTCAAGAATACATGTATTTGAGTTTCTCATTTCCAAAGTGAACCCTATTTTTTTTTTTTTTTTTTCCGGAAATCGAGTTGTTTTGCATCTGATATAAAAATACTAAATGAATTCGATGGTGCAATCGGTTTTTTTAATTAAAACTTCTTTATATGCGCTTAGCACAATATTTTGTGGTAAGTGAATTGGAGACTGAGCCGTCACGTTCAGCTATGTAATGTTTGTTTGGGTAAAGTAGGATCAAATAAACTAATTGAAGTGTTTTGCATTTGGATTAAAATATGTCAGAAACTAAAAATCAGACCTGCATACTGTAAATGAGGAAAATGTACAACATTTCATTCTCTTTGTAATGAGCTATTTCTCAAAATTGTAGTTTGACGCAATGCCATGTTACAAAAAGGGAAAAATATAGCACCAAAAATCCAAATAATAATGAAAATTTGAACTAAAATATATCAACTTGAAATACCATATACTTTGTGAATATAGAACAAAAAAAAATTTATATTTCACATTATTAATAACAACTTTTTGACGTTTTTACTTCTCTGGTGTAGTCTGAAGCACACAGTGTATTTTTTCAAAAACGAACCTAAGATTTAAAAAAAACTGGTATTGATAAGTTTATTTCCAGAAACGTAAAAGCCTTTTTACAAGAAACGTAAAGATACATTCATTTCTTAAGTATTTAAAAAAATAATCATCAAAAACTTTTTGTTTATTCAAATGAAAATTAGAAACAAATTTCTTTCATTTTACCATCATAAACAAAAATTTTAAAAATAATAATAAACGAAAATGAAAAAGTTAATTTTTTATAATATAGTTTTAATAATGGTTTTCTTGCCGAATTATATACCAATTTTTCTCTCTGAACCGAACCCTAATCAACTTTTTTTTTGTCCTAAAAAGGACCTTGAAGTTTTATTTGTACCAAAAGTGACCCTATTTAAGTTTCAGTGTTTTAGTTTTATGAGTTTTCTGAAAAATTGTCAATAATGATTAGGGTTCACTTTAGAAATAAACGACTCATTTGCGTCAATTGTTGCTGCCTCTTTTCAACTTTCACTGTATTATCACAAAAAAAGTTAATTTTAAGATATGTATATATTCTTTATATAGCTTTATGTATATATTCTGAGATACATCTATGTTTGTATGCTAGATCCATAAGAAGGGGAATGCACTGAATTTTAAAAACTATCAAAGTAAATCACATTTCTTTCTGCAAAAAAAAATGTTTTCAAACATTTTATATATTGACTTCTGATGTATGTGAAGAGTTTACTGGGAAAATAATGGAGATTTCTCACTAATAAATCAACAGCAGATTAGATCTCACTCCATATTATCCTGAAACGAAGCACAGAATATTGCATTCCTACCTGTTTATGGCCTTTAAGGCTCCTTATGACAGTATATTACATGAACTTTTTTATCAAGCTATAAGTCCTACTAAACATCTCAGAGAAACTAATTTGATGGGTTAAATTGACCATGGCAGAATCCATGCATGTACAGGACAAAATGTCAGAGGTCGGAGACAAATGGCATAAGACAGGAAGATGCTCTGGCATGTCTGCTCTTCAACACTGCATTGGAGAAAGTGATAGGGCATCCAGACAACAGGCACAATGTTCCATAGAATGGAAGATTCCAGTTGTAGCATGCAATACTTTCATTGCTCTTCGACAGCTTGACAACTGGTACTACGTGCAAATGCAACAAAAACCAAGGATATGACCTGAGTTTGGCACCTTGATACTGTCAACTTTGTCCTATATACGTTTGAACAAGTGAATGAATTTGTCTATCTGAAGTTACTGATAGTTGAAGGAAATGACATCTCAAAGGTAATTGAGAGGAGGAAAGTTATTGCTAACCGATGTTACTTTGGGCTGTGAAGACATATAAATATCTGTCAAGGGCTTAATAAAATTATGGCTACAGAAGACTTCGTCTTAGATGGATGGATGGCATAATTGATGATGACCGCAGGATCCTGGATTGGAAAACAGCTGTGAAACACCGTGCAGACTAGCCGAAGTTATTCGAGGAGGCCAGGAACCAGTAATGGTCTATTGAGTCAATGGCAATATATTCATATTCTTAGCAATAACAATTAATAATCAAGTTCAAGATTAGCAATAAGAATATATCAAGATATCAAGATTAGCAATAAGAATTTATTATCAAGTTCAATAATGTAATATCTCAAAATATTTTTTTTACTAACATTTTTATATAGATATTACAAGGTTGAACTGTAGATATTGTTAAGAATACATGCATATCACAAAATTAACTTTTTCTTAAGATGTAACATCATTGGGCTGGGGCAGCAATCTACTGTCTATTAGCCGAAGCCTGCTAATATTTTTATTAGTACCTCCACTTGCTTCTTAAGAGCTTCTTTTTCCCGAATCGCTTGCTGGAATTTCTTTTCCAAAGCAGCTAATCTTTGCGTGAACTCTTCGCTCATATTTTTCATTTCCTGAGATTCTTTTTCCTTTTCTAACTGACTGAAAAAGGAATTCATTGTTAATTTATATATCTAATTATAACAATAACAACAGTAAGGAAATCATCATTAATTTAAATATCTAAAATAATCTAATATACCAGGTTTAGTGGTAAACCTTACCTCTTGAGCTCTGAATTTGTCTCTTGTAAATCAGCATTTATTCTACTTAAATCTATTAATTTTGATTCTCTTGCTTCTAATATCTCTGTTATTTCAGCAATTCTCTATAAAAAGAGTGGAAAAGTTGTATTAATATATAAATGATAAATTCAATACAACTGAAAAGCTAATCTTAAGAATATTTCCCTTTTCAGTTCTTATATAAAAATGAAATATTCAAGGTATTTATGTAGAGAAAGTGATTTCAATTACTAACATTGGTAGCATTTGTCAATATACTGAATACCATCTAAAGGTGCAAAGACAAACCCATGAATGTGAAAAAAGTAAATTTTCACTTACGCCTAAAGTTTAAAATTATTTTTAGGCTAACTTTTTTCAGGCAAAAACCACAAATATCAAAAATAAAACTGTATAAATCATTTTTGTGTCTAAATTACCATTAATGTGAAAGCCAAAGGAAACTTCAAACTTTCATTTCACACATATATTTTCCCAAAATTAGGAGTTGGATTCATGGTCTTGTCTTAAAACCAACAGTATACTCTACAATAAAAAGCTTTTATTTTCAGATAGAATGAAATACCTTTAGTAATTTGTCAACTTCAGAATATTCATCCGAACCACCACTAGATGTTTCAGAGAGTTCTCGATGATGACCTGAAAGATATGAAAAAAAAAAAAGTGTTGAAATGGTCATAGTTGAGATTTTGCTAATATTTAAAAAAAAATATAGGGCCATTTAATCGCAAAATACCTTTCACTTTTCCTGAGAGTATCTTGACAATATTCACAGATTTATATGCTGATTTAGAAGGACTCTGGCGTGAAGCTGTACTGCTTCCATTTGGTGTAGGACTGGAATACAATAAGGTATTTATAAAATATAATGACATTTTTATCTTTAATTTTATTTCTGAGAAAAAAGGAAATTATTTTAGCCAGTTTGTTAAATAGTAGAGGGTTAAGACAGTAATATCAATCTTTTCTTACTGAGAAACAAAAATTCTTTTTATATTACAATGGCTTTTTAACTTTTTCTATTTAGTTATGTTATAAAAACACAATAAATAGTTAATCCACCTATCAGATAATAGAAAGGGAATATTTATATCTTAGGTGGGAAACCTTTTTATCATTAAAGGCCGTAGTAAAGTCAGGCAGTGTTAATGGAGGCCGCAAGAATTCTTTATATTGTACTACTTCTATTTTTATTTATCACTGAATACACACATATATTTAACTTAATTCTAGCACAAAATTAAAAATATCAAGTAAAAAAGTTTGACGGACGCAATTACGTCACAGAGGCCACATGCAACCTAGAGGTCGCAGGTTCCCGACCTATGATTTGTACCAAAAAATCACACTACTTTCCTGAAAATGATTTTTTTTTTATTGTCAAGAAGTGTCTAATTTATTTCGTATTTTATTGATAACTGTGATGCTTGTTAAAAAATCAAAACAAAAAACTTCTTTCCCTGACAGCACGGGCGGATCTACAGGGGAGGGGGCTTTCAGACTGAAGCCCTCCCAAAATGGTAAAATATAACCATGTTTTATTGAAAAGAATATTAAAACATTATCTCTTAAAGTATTATTGTTCGTGTAATTACATTTAAAAGGACTGGAGAAATCATTTAAACACCATTTCATATAGATAGTTAGTTTCTTTCTTGTTTTCCAAAGTAATTATCGTAGTTTTTATGAAAAAAAAAAAAGATTTCGGGCTGAAGCCCCCCCAAAAAAAATTAAATCCTGAATCCGCTAGTGCCTGACAGGACTTTCATTGTTTCAAAAGATGTTTGAATTTTCAAACATGTAGCCTTTTCGAACTATTTGACCTTAACCCTCCAATAGTCCAGCCCCAATAGAAACTCATATTGTTTGAAGGGATCTGACAGATCACTTTATATAAATCAATGCCCAGTTCCCATTACCAAATCATCTTAACTTATCTAGTAAAAAATATAGATAAATGTATCAATTAATCCTTATGTAGGTCCATTCCTTTCTTTAAAAAATAATATAATAATAGAAAGTATGAATCATGGTGATCACGTTTTTATGCCAGCAAATATTGTTAAAAAATGAAATTATAGAATTATTGCTACGGTACTCATAAGAATAATGATAAAACAATTCGATTTAAAAAATAATATTTACTACTTTCATAGTAGTGAGCTCTAAGATTTCAGAAGAGGTTAATAATCAGAAAACAGTTCTATGAATGCAACAACACTTATATGTAGAATTAAAGGAGCTAGAAGTAGAAAGGTAAGTAGGTCCAATCTAACGTCATATTTCATTAGGGAAAACAGCAGTTATCTTTTATAACTGTCTTTGTTTTCAAACACTTTTAATTTACTGGAAAATCTGACTTTACTTTCTTAAATAATTAAGTATTAAAATAGATAAGCAAAATTTTAAAATATTAGCAATACATAATGTATAAAACTTAATCAATTTTTAGTTTATTATTTTCAATAATGAATCATTGTGATAGACCAAAAAATTAAAAAACTTTAACCCCCTCTCAAAATTTGAGGTTTTACGTTTCAGGATACGTAGAATTCGAAAAACAAATAAAAATTTTTTTGTCTGTCGCCCATCCACGCATTTTCTCCAAAACTACTGGACTGGCTGAAAAACCTGTGTTGCTACAGACTGTAGCACCCAAACAAATGTACTGATTTCAATGAAACTTTCTCGACGCCCTTTAAATTTATCTATATAACATACTTCAATGAAAAGAAGCTGGAAAAAAAGCTACGAGGGATGGTAAAATAAAATTTCTCAAAAAGTATACACTTTTTATTGATATTGAAATATGGTTTTTTAAAAGTTTATGAAATTTTCTAAAAAAAAAAAAAATTGTTATAATCGGACATTTTGGAGAAAAGATATGGTCTCTAGATTTTTTTTTTATACGTTCTACTGCAAAGATTTTATCCTTTGTTTTTTTTTTGTTTTTATTTTGTTACTGGAGTAATGCTATTTTTTTTAGCATATTACTAATGATTAAAAAAAAGTTTAGTCCAATAATTGGAATCACCACCTTCCATTTATTATTCTTTGTAACTAGGAATGTAATGTTACTTTAGATGTATAATTGTTTGGAAATAATAAGCCATTGTGAAATAATTTGAAGTGTTTTTTTAATTTAATCAATTAATATGCAAGAATGGATAAATTTAAATTTAAATTATATATATATATATATATATATTTATTTATATATATATATATATATATATATATTTATATATATATATATATATATATATATATATATATATATTTTTTTTTTTTTATCCTAATCACAGAATAAGGATTAAAAAAAATATACTCAGCAACATTAAGAAATTCAATTGGGGATCTAAATCAAAAGGTATAAAAGTTTGAATAATTCTAGAACAATTAAGATAACCTAGCTTATGCTCAACACCATACCTAGATATTACTTCAATATCTGAAGAAGTGGTAGTTTCCAGTTCATCACCAGAGGTGTGTTCACTCGAACCAATCTTGACTAGATCTGATCTATAAATAAAAAGTAATTAGAAAAAATGTATATAATATATATTTTATATATATAAATATATAAATATAAAAAATGATATATAATGACAGCAATATTAAAATGGCTTATTTCAAAAAGTCATTAACCCTTTGACTTCGGGAGCTCATTCACGAGTTTTTACCACACGTTACATCCTGAAATCTGTAAAGACTTCCAAAAAAGCGAATTTCTTTTTTTTTTTTTGCATAAATTTGTTTTAACACCCTGCAAGATCTTATCTTTCAAAAATGCATTTTAACGTTTTTATTCAATTTTAAAAAACGGGATATACGCCATCCGGTCCTATTTGTTTAGTAGAAAGAGATCCACGTGTAGCAAAATCAACATTCAGTCAAGAAAGAAAAAAAAACATTACAAAATTAACTTATTAACATTTATTTGATGTATAAAACATTTAAATAAGATCATGAATATGACATAAATAACAGAGAAAAGACATACCTTCGGTTCAGATTAAATCTGCAACTAATAGCTTCCAAATGGTCAGAATCCGGAACGACCACAGTGAGTTAGCTACGGGCATTAATGAATGCACCAACCAAGCCACAAGTCAAATGGTGAAGGCGGGATTTGATTCACTTGCCCCTATCTGTTTAAGTGGTGACCGCCCAGGCGGGAAGGCATATATCCCGGCCGCACCAGTGACCCAACTCACTACCTGGATGACATATATTCTGTCCACACCAGTGACCCAACTCTTAACAGGAAGGCATGTATCCCGTGCACAGTCAAAGGATTAAGTAACATTTTAGATAAATTAAATCTTTAAATCTCCTGTTCTAAAGGGACTTGACACAGAATAAATAAAAAATGTATTACTAATACTCTAGTATTCCCTCCTTCCACAGCTTGTATTGTGATCTGCAGGTGTGTAATGTGGGTCAAAAGTCTACAATAAATTTATTTCACCGCTTATTATAATAAGACCTCCTTCTCCCTAATTATTTCTAACTTCATAAAATAAATAATGACCATATACCTTTCCGAACTGATTGGTGACTGCTCCCTGACCTCCGTCATGGCGTCTGCAAGCATACTGCTAACACCCACACCTTCCAGCCGCAGTGTATTCTCCTCACCGCTGCTACCCATCAGTGTACCCTCTTCGCAAGAGCTTGTCTCTAGCACCACACCATCTGGTTCACTGCTCGTTGATTCTGAAATCCTTCCAACGCTCAACCTATCAAAAACATGAACAAATAATTGGAATAATTAATCGAGATTATTATGCAAATATAATTTTTTTTAAATCGACACTTTTATCGCATCACACAGAAATGTGTTTATAAAAGACACTTGTTAGACCAATGATTGCTTATGGTACTGAAACTTGGACTCTCATCTCCTAAATCAATAGTGGTTTAAAAATATTTCAGCAAAAATTTTAAGAAAGATTTATGGACCAGTGTTTCGAAAATAAGTCCAATATGTGGAAGATACACAGTAATGAAGAGCTAAAAGCAAATTCCTAAAATCACATCATAATGATTGACCATATAATTAGGATGCCCATCAATAGAATGCCAAACAGGTCACTACATGGTAAAATTATAAGTAAAAGGAGAGTTAGTCGGGTACTCAGACAATGGATTCAGGATGTGTAAGAGGACATCAAGACATTGTAAGACTGAAAGAGAAGGCACATGACCGTGAGAAAAAGAGTAGATTATTAGGGAAGCCAAGGACCACCTCAGACTGTAGAGCTGCAGAATAAGTAATCAATATAATTATAATTTAAATACATTAGATGATAAATTCTTAACCATTTCATAAAACATTAACTATTATAGTTGCCATTACCTACTCAGTGCGTGGCATATAAACCAACTGGTAGTGTGGCTGCTCTTTGTGTTCCATTTTATTTGTAAACCTGGATGATTCACCAAGTGACTCACCAGTCATAAAAAAAAAATACTGCAATTCGTTCAAGCTATATGAAGAGGCAATAGAACTGCCAGATTGTTATTAATATCGAAAACTGTCCTACATGAAGAAATATGCTATAGAGATTGATACAAGAAGCTGTACATAAATACAATTTTAATTAGAAATAATAAAAACACTCAATTTTATCAGAAAAGTCCTACTTTATTTACAAGTGAAGAAACGTTTAACAAACAAAATATTCACCAAAGACTAATTACTCTTGCTCATTAATTATTTTCATTTTCTATTTTATCTTTACATACCTATTTTTAAAGAAAATTAAAATCACATGGGCTTGATCGTCCTTGTCAACATAATTTGATAGAAATTTTAAAGTACATTTTTCATAATAGAAGTTATATTACTAAACTATTCTTATGTATTGTTAAACTAGTTCAAAAATATTACATTCTAAACAATAACAATTTATTCACAGCCCTCTATATTTAATTTTATTATTAAAATTACAATTTTAAAGATAAAATTTTGTGATATAATTGAAGGGTTTGGTGCAAGAAGGAGGCAGCTCCACTTTTTCCAATATGCAGCAAATTAAAAAAAAGTTTTAAAAATTCAGTTTTCACCAAAACCAAAAAATATTCAGCCTTGTGTTAGGTTATGAGGTATACAACTGACCAGAATACACACAAATGCATACCCTCAGGTAAGTGCAATGGAATCTTGAATTTTGGAGCTGCCTCCGTTTTGCTCCAAAGTGAATGAAAAACTCTTTGTAGGACCATTTTCTCCAGAATTAACCATATTTCAGTTTACAAAGCATTTATTAATAAAGAAAGCGCAACATTATTGGTATGATACATCAATATGTACAGTTCTTCTTAACTCTTTCAGCTCTCCCTCATTATCCTCAGGTTTGTTTGAAGCATCTAATGTTAACTGGTCCTAAAACCACACTTCGTTTTGCCCGACATACTTTCTGGCCAGCTCATTGACATCCTTAAACTTTTTGTCTTTAAGTGAATGGAGACAATCATAAGCTTGATGAAGGTGGTCCAGTGGTATGAGACCCAGTCCTTGTTGGCAAATTTGCGCATTATCGAAGAGTCATCTCTACAGTCACACTGCATTGAATAATTAATCCCTTTATAGATATATGGCTGTTCATAGAGGAATAGTTTGTGCTTAGTGATAAAATATTTATCGTTTGGAGGAAGAATGAGGCAGCTCCATCTACCGGATTTCTCTGGAAATAAAGGGTGGAGCTGCTTCATTCTAGTACCAAACGAAGCGGATTTTTGTTTTGTATGTGATAGGATGTGCTACTCAATAGAGGCACAAAGTGGGGCTGCCTCCTTATGGCACTAAATCTCTTAATTGACAAATGAAGCTGGTAAAAAAACTAGCAAGGTCTCAGGAATGTGAGTGAATGCAGAAGGAATATTTCAAAAAATGTTGGGATTTTGTGGCTTCCAGAATATCATTCTTTTAATAATGCAAATTAAAAATGTTTCTCTATTTGTTATTACTTAAAAAAAAGTAACATCTGCTAGAATGAATTACCAACTTAGGAAAATATTTGAACTAAACAAAACATTTGGTGATCTACTATTCTTAGTCAGAAAATTAATAACAGTCATTTCTATAATAACGTTGTTAAGATTGACTGTATTGAATTGATTGGCAAAACCAGTAACAGTCTGCAGTTTTCAACTGTCCTTTCATACCATATTCTGGACCAAATTTATAAATTCTTTGAATAGGAACATTATCAATATTAGGGTTTAAATCAATAACTGATAAATTGTAAACATTCTTTTTTTATAAGTATGTAATGCTCTGCAAATAATATGTAAACATGTTATCTATCACCACAGCCTGGGAGCTGGTAGAAGGCAGAAATGCATTTTTATGTTTTACAATTCACACATAGTTTCATTTAAACAAGTTTTATTCAATGTAAAATAGATAATAGAGGAAGAAGAGGGTCCGGGATGACTGTCATAAATCGACTAAATGAATATAATATTATTATATTATGTAACTTCCACAATTTTATATATCCTTTTGTATCTTTTCCGTTCTAGCCCTGAAAAAGACCTGCCAAGTCGGATTGAAACGTTGACTTGAAATAAAATAGTTTTCTACTATTTAAGTCTATTTATGACCGCCAACTCAGACCATCTCCTTCCTCTAATCAACTATTAAGAATTCAAATTAAAACAGATGATGTTTGACAGCCAAACCTGGCAGTTGGGTATTTGACAAACATAAAATTGTATTAGTTATATAGCATAGCATCTAGTTGGTGATGGTGAAACTTTAGGCTGATACAAAATAATCCAGTATAATCCAAATCGCTTGGGAATCAATGTAAAGTTTGTGAACATTTTTCAACAGTCAATTTAAAACATAATCTTAGACTAAATTCATAATGTTAGTAACTCATTCGACAAACAATTTGATGCTTTTTAAGGAAGCACTGTATAAGAGTTCAAATCAATAAATAAAAAAATAAAAAATAGGAAAATTGCATTTTAGACTCGCCATCAGTGTATAATGAACATGATTCATGCCAGCAGATAAATATTTTTTAGCTCTTCTTCTAGGACAAAAATGTTTAAAATAGGTGAAACGTTTGGTAAAATAAACCAAATTTTTCTGCATGGGCTCTTAGTTTATATGGGCGCCATACCAAAAAACAACAATTTAAATATTTTAAAAATAATCAAGTACCTAGGGGCTTGTGTAACAACTTCTTGGTAATCCATTCTTGCTTGGTGAGAATTTCCATAATCAACAGATTTTGAATGTACTTCCTTCTTATCGACCAATCGTGAGGGTTGTGTTATAATTGGTTCTTTCTTCTCAGATTCGCCCTCCACAGAACCAGATGCCATGTGTGTAATAACACCTAATGTTCGATTTTGGTTCTGCAATATAAGATAACAGCTGTTGTTGTAAATTACAATAAGCTAGGAAGGCAATTAAATCAAAGATAGTTTAAAATTAAAATATAAGTCATGAGGAATTAAATAATATTTACATCTCTTGGGGACATGGCCTCCGTGAAGGAAGTATCAAGAGAAGAAGTCGACTTAAGCATGGTTGGATCAAGGAGTGTAACGGTCAAAGTAGCTTCAGATGCAGATGTATAAGAGTCTTCGACACTTACTGAATCTTCATCTTCTGGTATAACTTCCACACCATCACCTTCGATTGGTGACACAGAATCGGAACTCCTTTAACAGAAGAGAATAATTTACATTCAGTATCATAAATAATATTAATTTAACAGTAAAACTAAAGAGGATAAAATTGTATGCATTCAAATATTCAATAACTCAGGAACAGTTCTATAAATTCATCTAAATGAAACTTGATTGACTGTAATCAAATAAATTATTGACAGATAAAAAATTGACTGTAGGTTTTGAGTCGAGGATTATTTTTATAAACATTTATAGGACATCATAAAAATAGAATTGACACAAGAAACTTTTTACTTTTTTAGTAATGAACGTAATACATTTAAGTAACCATTATTTCAAATGGAACAAATTAAATAAATAACAATTGAAAATCACTTTTGTTCTGATGAATGAGAACCAAGGACATCAACAGAACTTGGAGAAGTAAGAACTTCAACAGATTCAAACGAGCCACTTTGCCTCAGCTTGGCGACCGAACTCGATGTCGACATAGTATTTGGATCTGAATCAGGTGTAGAGCCCAGGATATCACAACTATCTGTTGACCTAAAACAATATTATAACATTTTATAATCTCAAATAATGAATTATAGTTTAAAAGTGCTGTGTTATAAAAATGCTATTAATATTTTAAATTCATGTAGGTACCTTCTGTCACTTTCTGAAGATATAACTGAAAGACGGTTTGCAGTGTTCCTCGGTTCCCTCTTCCTCATTACGACCTCTACAGGAGGGAAGTTCTTGATTTCTTGTCTAATCTGCTCTCCATCAGGTTCATTAGATTCCTCAGGAGTAGATTGGAGATTCAAAGAGGATTCCACTTTTTCAGATGAATCTACCAAGTTAGGTTTCGCAAGCACTCCAAGATCAAGGGAAAGCGATTTTTTTGGCTGATTTGAAACCATTTCTTTAGACTGGCTATCTTTAGAATCATCACTACTTCCTAGAAATGTATTTTTTAAATGTTAATAATAATGAATTAGCAATAGACAACGACTTTACAATAAAATGTGACTTTAGTAACTTTAAACCAATCAATCAAGAGAGTAATATTTACAAAGATGATTCATTTATTCTTTCAACTGTAAGATCAGCAGATAAAGTAGAATCAAGATTTGGTGAAATACCTCAATAAACTTAGCAAGAAAAAATCATTGAAATGATGCAGAAGAATAAAGAGTGGGTAGGTTATTAATAAAAATGTATCCATTCCAATTTCTCCGTTTGAATTTGAGTTTCTTAATTTTTAACAGAACCGAGAGAAAATTAATTTACTCCAATGACAGTAGGCAAAATAAAAGTATTTACAAGAAAACTTATATTTTTTTGTTCCTTTACAAGCCCCATAACAGAAAAATAATTAATTTTAAGCCATAAACAATTTTTTTCAAAAACTGAATAGGGTTTCATCACACTTGGAAATAAGGAGTATGGTCAAATTTCAAATTAAATGCCTCCTTTATAATAATAAAAACTAATTCCATTGCTATGAAATATATAAATATACTGTATATTTTCTTTTTTTTTTTTTTTTTTTGTCCTCCCCTTCCTCGCCTTTTAGGCTATACGGGGGTTTTCTGGGCCAGGAGGTGAGAGTGGGGGATTAATGCCCGAGTTAAAAGTCCCCCTTGGCACTTGGACGTGAACTCAGTATTATTTTAATCAAATAATCTTCCATCCGGGTTGCCAGACAATGCACGGTGCTGTACACACATTAGCCGGTTACCCCACTCGGCCACCCTTTCTTCTGTATCATAAAAATGTATTAATAATCTTCATTGTAATGAAACAGTCAATGTACAAATTCTCATGAAAATAATCATAATTAGTACATGCTTCAATAATAAAATTTCATTTATTTAATTGCAAACGTATGAAAGTATTAAATTACATCAAAAACATTAATACGGCATACCTTCAGTTTTCCCTTGATTTTCAAAAAAGGACCCAGTAAATGACCCCCAAGCACTTGCACTATTCGTCATTTTTGAGGCCTTTTTGACTAAAGAAGCAGGAGAACTTTGTAGGTCCCAGGCTGAGAAAAAACTGTCAGTATTGATGTCTGAGCTTTTTGAAGATACTATAACATTCCAAAAAATAATCATATCAAATAAAGAATTTTCATAAAAATCTGTAATAATGCTTTAAATATTTTAAGAGGTTACAAAGTTACCTTTAACCTTAGTCAGATAAAAATTAAATAAAAAGATTGTACGAAATACAGTTGCAACAGAACGTATTAGCACACGTCTTTTTTCTCCACAGTCTAAAAAATATTAAAAGTTGTTTCAAATCATATGTATTATATAAATAATGAGAAGAAGAATAGTTGGAGTGATCAGTCAAATAAGAAGGCAAAAATAAATGATAATATTTATTTTGTCATTTGCGGACGTTTCGACCTGAAGTTCAGGCCATCATGAGCTTCAACCCATCTTCATTGCATCTTCTACCTTAGAGCAGTCAGCCCTCATGATGGCCTGAACATCAGGTCGAAACATCGGCAAATGACAAAATAAATATTATCATTTATTTTTACCTTTTATTTGACTGATCACCCCAACTATTCTTCTTCTCATTATTCACGACAGTCAACTATTTAACCACTATTATTATATAAAAAGTAATCCATAGCACATCCTCTGTCTGGCCAAAAAGCGCTCGTCAAGAACATGGCTACTAGAGTAAAGAGAAACAAAATGATAACAGCAAAAAAAGAATCCTAAAAAAAATACTGTAAACTATTGCAGAAAAATAGCAGGCAGGAAATATATGCAAATTTCATGCCAATATTTAGAAAGAAAGGGTGGAATAAAAAATGAGAAACCCACAAATACAAGGAAAAGATAGTAAACAAACAGTATCGAAAGAAAAGTTACCAGGCTTCTCAAAGGACATTTCCAGCAGCTTCTTCTCAATCAAGAGAAACCCACAAATTTAAAAGACATGGATCACACAAAGGACCTCGACTCAACAAGTTTAAAAAAAAATAGATATTTTGGTTGCGGAAACAACTATCAAAAGGCTTGAAAGAAGAAAGATCCCAGGAAAGACAGCAGACAGACTACCATCAGATATGTGTAGGGCTTCATTTAAATGGAAAATAAGCCAAGAGTAGGCATTGGATAATGTAAAACAATCTTTATACAAATTAAATTCATAAAATTACTTCATAACTTGATTTTCACAAAGTTAAATTAAACCATTTCTGAAATTTTACAAATAAATACATAATCCCAAACCTAAGAGACAATAAAAATAGAACAAAATTAATGGGTTTAAAAGTAATCACTTATGAAATGCATGTACATAATAATTGAAAATGTATGACGTTCTCTAAAAACAATAAACAATATTTATAAGTAAAGATTAGTAAAGCTCATGGGACAAGGTCATGTTGCATGGATAACAAACAATGATATGTAACAATTAACATACTGTAATTAATTTAATTAGAACTAAAAAAGGATCAAAAGTAGAACACTTTATATTGATCAAGGATAAATTGTGTTGCAGTATTCCTAATCATCTCTCCAATAAGTACTTAATCATACCAGCTTTAAATAAAAAGAATACAACAAAAAATCATAATAAAAAAAAGAAAAGAAAAATAACTCACCATTGTGCGCTTTACTAGCATCTTCTTCAGTGATGTCCAAAGCTTTATCGATTGTCTTTTGAGCTTCTTTCAATGCGGACTTTGCTAAATTAGCAAAGCCCGATGGGTCAAACCAACTCATTGTCATTAAATTTAAAGTTATTTAAAGAAATAAAAAACATTTTTTATCAATGTGGACAAGGAATAACATTGCTTATGAGATGAAATACTCGACGATTCTAAACCCATTTATATTTCTGTCTTAAACTCAAGAAATAAATAAATTTAAAATATGCAACAGAATCATAATTAAGATTTAACCTTCCCGGGATCATATCATATCATGACTGGAACTGAACAACAATATAGAATGGTGTGAAGAACATTAACAAAAAAGGTGATAATTATATATCAAGAAAAATACAAATAATTACTTGAATCATTTGAAATGGTGGTTTACCGCAGCTAAACTATGACATGTCCATGGCCATAGTAAACAGTAACCAGCTGATGCCAAAGAGGTGCAACAAAAAGTCATCGAAGTAAAAAACAGTGGTTAGACTTATCATAAATTATATAAAGCTTCTTGGCATGTTAGGAAATATTTTTTCAACTGACATGAGCTTATTTTAGCTCACTTAATTTAACTTAAATTTTTTTTTACTTATGTTATTAAGATTCTCGATTTTGGACGGATGCCCCAGTGGCGCAATTGGTTAGCGCACGGTACTTATAGACAGTACGCTTGAGCTATGCCGGGGTTGTGAGTTCGAGCCTCACCTGGGGCACATTTTTTTTCAATTTATTTCAATAAAAAAAACTTCAATGATTTTTTCCCTTAACAATCCATCTTTATGAAGAATTTAAAAATTATTTTCTTAATGTTTCATTAATCATTTAATAAATATTCCAAATATTTTATAGACTGTGGAATTATATTTGTTTTTATGGCCCTAAAGATTCTCTAAGCATAGAGGTGAAAGTCATAAATAAAACAAAAGCAAATATTTACACTAAGTTGATTTATAAGTATGTCTGCCCCCTCTTTTTATAAAATTAATTTCAAGGAATTTAGAAAACTTTGATACTCATGACAAAAATCTATAAAACTGTCCTTCAGAAAATAAAATTACTGATTTTTTTTATCTCACTGCAACAGCAAATATTTAGCTGATTCTCCATTCAACTAGTTTCACCTCGAGGAATGTTCCAGAATTGGCAATATTGGGCTTTTCATTACCAGCCTCAATATACAGTTACCAAATTGACTATATTTTTTCCCAGTTGAAGTTGCTTTTTGTTATCCCTGAATTTATTTAACTTTTTTCCTTAAAAGTTTCACAGAAATTAGTAAAATGGAACTTTTAAAAATAAATTCATAAACATTTCAATCCCTGATTTATTTATTTGAGTGTTTTGACCACTGGGGTCATTTACACTGAAGTCACTTTAGTCACTTGGTTTTTTTTTTTTTTTTTTTTTTTTAATTTTATTCTAAATGTCGATAGTTTTTAAGAATTTAATAAGTCGTGAAGTCATGTCTGGGTCCTGTCTCAATATTTGTTCTGGGTCTGTGGAAAATCTGTAGGAGTCATGAGCCATACACTCTGTTAGTATGTGAAGCACTGTTAGAATACACCCGCATGCACTGTTATACACCGAACATGTTGGCGGTTCTTCCTTCTTCATCAGATATGCATTGGTAAGTCGACAATGGCCAATCCTGAGGCTGGTAAGAACTACCTTCTCTCCGTGATAGCTGTAGACTTTTTTCTTGGATGTTTAACATATTGTTCGCTTTTTCTTAATTTATTTTCCCTCATGCTAAACCATCGATTTTGCCACTCCAGCCTTCATTGATCCAAGATATTAGATCATTGCGATCACTTATTGAAAATACTTGACCATTTTCTATTCCTCGTTTCACTTGTGTGTCTGCATTTTCTTCGCCAGGAATTCCACTGTGACCAGGTATTCATAAAAACAATACTCTACAACCAGCTTCTTTCATTGTTTTTAATTGTATTTTTATTTCTTTAATTAGAGGGTGTGTGGTAAAGGGGTCTAGTAGAGATTATAGGGCAGATTTAGAATCTGAATATATGACCGAGTAAGGGTAATTTGGAGTTATATTGCAAACAGCATGGTTGATTCCTAGAAGTACTGCTGTGTACACTGAGAAGAAGGGTTGCGGCAAAATTAAGTGGGTGTGATTGCCAGATATAACAGCAGTGCCTACCCCTTCATCAGTTTTTGAACCGTCAGTGTAGATAAAGGTCCAAGCGCGGTGAATGGCTTTAAAATTGTGGAATTTTTGTGCTATTTCTATTGGGGGTAGATGACAGCTTATTTAGTTATTAATGATAGCTGGAATAGGTAGCAGCCATGATTCAACTGCTGAAAGAATTTGGTTAAACACATTTGAAAAAGGAATGAGTTTCAGATTTTTAATGTATGCAGAACATCTATCAAGAAAAGATGAGCAGCTGTTTGAAGAGCTATTTGGATCCCTCCCCTGGATCTCCCTAATCCCTGACTTAAATAATTCATCTACTTTATTTTAATATATATATATTTTTTTTTGTTATAAATTTCATAGATAAAAATATAATTTTCATTTATTTTTTGTGCAGTGTCATTTCTGCAACAGTGTCTTCAACTTTTATTTTAGGATAGTTTGAGCGCACTTTTTCTTTTTAAATCTGTTTTAGCTCAGAAAATTTTTCAAAATATAGATATACTGAAACTATTGTGAATAAGCATGGAAAAAGAAAATTCTCCTTATTTTACTCCGTTTTGTAATTGGGGAGTTAGACAAAATAAAACTAGGGTGGCAAAATGTGTATCAAGTAAAATCTAAAACTATATTATATTATGAACTATAATAAAATTATGTTATGATAAACAACCTTATTCAAGTTATTAATTTTTTTTTTTTTTTTTTGTGAGATTTTTATATAATTATTGTATTTAATCAATATATGATTAAGTTAGTACAAAAACCGATTTTAATCTCACAACCTTTTACTTCACAATTAAAATATTTTTTTATATATTCAAGAATTATAATTTAACGTTTGAGCTCCAAGAACAATTTAAAAAAAAAAATATATCTTTCAAAAACAAAACATTAGTCATAAAAGCATTATTTCTAAAAAAAAAATTAAATTATTTATGTATACAGAATACTACTGGAATAAATCATGGATGGGATAAAAATAATTTAATTCTGGATCAGTGACAGAGAACCACCGGGTACACTATGGACCAAGGGAGCATCGGTTGGAAGCCATACCTAGCTTTTTGCCTTAACCGGCCTCCAACCTTACTCCCTGGACCGGGTACACCACCAAGAATGCAGGCACACAACAGGTGCCCACGGAATAAGACAACTACTACTACCATAACTTCCGTCCACTCGCTACACATTGTACCAGAAGATAGCCTGGACAACGCCAAGGCTAGCTGAACACTGGTGTCGTGCAGCGAGTAGTCGTAAACACAACGACCACTACGACCGCCACGGCCGAACAGTGCAAGCACTCTCGCCGTCCACCCATAGCGCCGCCGGGGCTCCGGCGACGCCCCGTAGTACCAATTTGGTCGGGAAGCTGCTTCCCTGACCTCAGAGCACGATTGGTCTCAGGCTCCGCAATCAATAGATCGCTACGGCTTTACATTGCCTGCCGATGTACAGGAGGATGCCTGCACCTCCGCAGTCAATGAGGGACACGACTCAAACCTAAGGGTTCGAGACGATGACCGTCCCCGGACTCTGGATCAGTGACAATAAGGAATTTATATCTGTACAACTCAAGGAAAAACCTTTTAGTATGTATGCACCTGATAATAACCTTTTCTTATTTAACTAAAAACAATCTCAGAATTAATATTTTTTATTTTAAAATGAAGGTGGTATATTTCACAAGTTAGCTGTTTTAAGTTATGTAGATAGAGAAGATTTTTTTCTAATTGTGCCTAACTTTGCAGCCTATGGCTCAACTCACAAGGTTCTCATTTAAGTTGTTTAGCTATACTAGCATATACCAGAATTAATAGAAAATAAATGTATATAGATAACAGTTGCGGAATGATATTACAGCTCATGCATGGTTGAATGCCAATTATTAGATAGATTTTGACAAATATTAATGATTGTCTTAAACTAAAAGAAGATAAAATGTAATGCATCATTGAAACACTTTTTATTATACCCAATCGGTATTTTATAAATTTAATAAATGGGTGGTAAATATTATATTTTTTTGTAATTAGTTAAATTTTTCATTAAAAAAACAATGAATAAAAATAAAGTGGCTAAGTATTTGTATAAATAACAATTTACTTTTGCTTGTCAATAAATATTTTCTTTTCATAGTGCATGTGTATTCCATTATTTCATTCTTTCATTTTTTTTTTTACTTGGTTTATGGCTACACATATTACAAACAGGTTCTGCAATTAATATATGTATAATTTAACCAATGATGCCTTTTTTAAACATTTTTCCCAAAGTTTTATTTTTCTAAATCAGCATTCTACACTCTGGGTCTTATATGCTTGCCATATTTTTCAAATGTTACAATTTATATTTTAAATTTTATTTGGTTTTTATAACTACTAAAAATAATGATAAAATTCAAACTCATTAAATATAATAGCTTACAATTAGTATAACAAATTATTTTACACTAATTGTTGAATGATGGTTGACTCTAGTGAATAATTTAAGAGAAGGATTGGGATGATCAGTAAAAAAAAATTATTTTTTTTTACTGATCACTCCAATCAACTGAACCCCAATATACTAAATTGGATCAAAAGTAAATTCAAATAAAAAAAAATCCTAATCTTGAAAAATTCTACAACTGAGATTAAGCTCCAAAAAAGATATTCTTATTCAATAAATAAAAAATAAAAAAAATTGGAAAAAGTATTGAAATGCTTTTAATAAACATAAGTTAATAATAAAAAATTGAAAATAATGAAGAACGATCTAATAATTTATATACATATTTACAGTGGCATCTATTTACAATTTTATGGGGACTGAGTGGATAAGAAATGATTGAACAGGCAGGATTTAAAGGTAGGAAGGATATTGGATTGACGGATGTGGGAAGGGATGGAGTTCCAAAGGGATAACGATCAGATAATGAAAGATCTGTCGAAAGAAGCGGTTCGGTGGGCCCTCAAGTATAAATAAGAAGACCGGAAATGAACAGAGGATTTGAATCGAAGGAGCTCAGAGATGTATGAAGGATGGTGAGATTGGATGACTTGAAAGAGGAAGGATGCCAGGAAATATTTATGATAGTAGGAAGGATAAAGTCACTTCAACTCTGCATAAAAATGGGAAACAGAGGCGTCCCTTGTTATCCCGAAGATGAATTGTACAAAGCAATTTATTAAACGTTTTAGTTCCGCCTCGATATCTCCAGAGATGCCCCCATATACCGAACAGCAATAGTCAAAGTGGGGGAAAATTAAGGAAGTGACTAGGAGCCTATGGGTTTCAAATGGAAATAGGTGAC